GGGAGGATCAAACTTTGTGATCCTTTGTATGTGGAGTGAAATAGGTTATAAAATTTGACTCTCACATTACATAGACTAAGCTCTCCCTAAATATATGCATACATATGATGGAGAATGTAGTTTATGCATAATTGGCAAATTAATGCTCAAAGGAGTTTAATCTATATAATGCATGGAGAAAGCATATAAATACCAAAGTGAAATCAACATGATGATATCGGTTTAGAAATACCACATGTGGAAACCAATTTGATTTATACCACTTGCAATAGGTGGTGGATATTTGAAGTACGATGCTTAACTCCGGGGACTCCATTTTTCTTGCAATGAGACTACTACACACATGATAAGCTTGAAAAGGTGTTAGTCTCAAAGCATCCAACTTGTAGAGTAACCCCCCCTAAATTTGTGCACATAAGTATGGAATACTTGTAGGAGACATGCACATTGATTTTAGAATTAAAAATACCACTTGAAAGATGACATCACATGAATGTGAGAATCATTTTTGAAAATAATATTCGGGAGAAATTATCTACAATTTGGACTTTGACACATATTAGATGAACAATTATAAAACAAGCTATGTGTCGTGCTCCTAAACAATTTAAACCAGGTAGGTTTGCTCCAAGGGTTAAGAGTGAAACCGAGCAAGCCTACCATAAGATATACCTAGTGTATGCAAGACAAAAGATTAAACATGCAAATGCAAACCTAGGCATGAAAAGAAACTAGATACTAATTGAAATTGCAAAAAATTAAATCTAGTTACATAACATCGGAAGGGAAATTTGGGTCCATAGTATTCACTAACCCATTTGGCAATTACCTTGTCCATAATGATGCACCCCATGAAATGCACCCATACTTTGCCAAGTCTCTGAATTCCCCGAAGTCCATTGGACTTCTCACTTCCTTTCGGAATCCAAACTTCTTGATGCACTTTATGTTGGAAATGATCTCCTTTGGCACCCAAATACGCTTGGCCCCATTGTTGGCCTGCTTGTTTAGCTTGATGGCCACTACCTTGTCATTTTTCTTCTTCTTCAAGAGATAAGTTGTGTAGGCCTTTTTGTCCACCTTGTTGGTGTAGGTGTTGGAGAGCTTGCTTGTTTCCTTTTTGTTTTTCTCTTTCTTAGCTCCTCCCCCATTATTCACCTTGCACTCATAGGACTTATGACCTTCCTTGTGGCATACATAGTAAACCACGGTTTGTCCTTCATCAAGCTTCTTCACTCCATTGACGGTGTTATCTTGATGACGTTAGGCTTGCTCTGTTTCGCCTTTTACTTGAGTCAAGTCCTTGGTAAGGCGAGCCACTTCTTGCTTGAGTTGCTTATTTTCCATTGCGACCTCTTGTGTGCATGTATCTATAACTTTCTCAACACAAACTTGGTTGCACAAGGGTGAGTCTAAACATAAATCATTGCAAGAAGTAGAGGCATCCTTTTTAGGCATATCAAAAATTGATTTTTTCTTTTTAGATGCCCCGGTGAGGGTTGTATCGACGGCTTCAAGATTAACAACTTTATTTGTTAGCTCATCACAATGTTTGCACATGGTTTCCATTTTAGCAAGCAAACTTTTATAAGCATCTTGTGAGCTAGCTAAGTTTTCTTTTAATTTTCATTTTTCTTTACAAGTTGCTTATTATTGATTGTGCATGCATTTGTTGTTGCACTAGCCTCAAGTTGCTCAATTTTAGTAGATAGTTCAATATTGAGATTAGCAAATGTCTTATATTGTTCAAGCAAGGTTTTATATACTTCTTGTGAACTATCTAGCTTTTCTTATAATATTTTTAGCTTCTTTTGTCGGCTAGTGCAAGTCTTAGCATATTTAAGATTTTCTTGCACAAGTTCATTAAGAGAAGGCATTTTATCATCACTATCACTCTCACTAGAGAATGAGCTTTCGTTACCTCGTGCCATCAGGCACATACGAGAAGAGCTTGATGATGAGTGCTTGTGGCATCGTCTCTTGTGATGGTCTTCTTTTTCACTTGAAGAATCATCCCATGATCTTATTGATGTGAGGGCTTTGTCCTTGCACGCCTTCTTCTTTGTCTTGGGTGTGGGCTTGTTTGGACAAACTTCCACAAAGTGCCCCAACTCGCCGTATCCATAGCATCATTTCTTTCTTTGCTCATTTCTTTGATTGGTGAAGATGAAATCTTGAATTTGGATGGGACACCCTTGACATTGAGCCTTTGGATCATCTTCTCCACCTTGTTGATAAGTTTGATTGATTCTTCATCAAGGTCGGATGTGGAGGAGGAAGATTGATCATCATCAATTGAATCATCATCATCATCATCATCATTATTATCATCATCGTGATCATCATCATCTTCTTCTTCTTCTTCTTCTTTATCTTCACTTGAGGAGTTTGAGCTTGTCTCAACTTGCTTGTCCTTCATCTTCTTTTTCTCACTACATGAGAGTGCTTTGCTTTTGCTTGATGACGAGGCTTCTCCTTAACCCATCTTCCGTGACATTTCAAATGCCACTATCTTGCCAATGACTATGGCCGGGGTCATAGTGCTCAAGCACTCCATGTTGTGAAGGATGGTGATGATGCTTGCATATTTCTTTTATGGTAGCATGGAGATGATCTTCCTCACGATGTCCGCATCATCTAGCTTCGTTAATCCTATTGAATGGAGCTTATTGATAATTAGATTCAAACGAGAATACATATCATGAACAAGCTCATCATCATTCATTTTAAAGGAATCATAATTTTGTTTAGCTAGACAATGTTTTTGCTCACGGACATTAGTTGTGCCGTCATGGAGCTCTTGGAGTTTTAACCAAATTTTATGTGCCGTATTTAAAGTGAACACTTGGTTAAACACATCCATACTAAAAGATTCGAACAAGCAATTTTTAGCTCTAGCATTGAAATAAATTTCTTTTTCTTCACTCTTTGTGGTTTTATTGGGATTCTTAATGGGTTTCATCCCATCACGAGTGATTCTCCAAACACCCAAATCTACCACCTCAAGGTGACAAGCCATTCTAGCTTTATAGTAGGGAAAGTTAGTGCCGTCAAAGTGTGGAGGCCTATAGGTATCTATCCCAACTACTCTAAATAGCGTCGGCTCAACGGCGGTGAAGTCAAAGGTCCAAATTGAGCCAACTGGCTCTGATACCACTTGTAAGGGACCGTGACGCCTAAGAGGGGGGGGTGAATTAGGCAACTTAAAACTCTAACTCAAAACTATGGCCTCTTTTTCTATCCTTAGCAAAAACCTATGTAAAAGATAAACTATCTAAATGTGCAATTACGGTTTTGCTAGTGTGTTGCCGTCTCTACCGCAAAAAGGAGTTATGCAACTTAGGTTCTAAACCTATCAACTAGCCTATCACTAAGCTAGGAAAGTAAAGCACAAACCAAGATTGCAATGTAAATGCGAAAGCTAAAGAGTAAGGTAGAGATATGCAAACTCCCATCGATGACTCCAGTATTTTTACCGATGTATCGAGAAGCGCACAAGTTTCCCCTAGTCCTTGTTGGAGCACCTCACAAGGAATCCCTCGCAAGGGCCAAGCTTCTGGTCGGGTAACTCCATGGATAGCCCCAGGCCTTCCCCACGCGCAAGTGGATCTCTGGTGTGCCTTCCGGCAAGCATCTTCCGGACCGTTCCCCGCCGTCTTTACTATCAAGCTTCCGGTCGAACCGTCGTGAGCCTTGTTCCCTTCGGTACACAGTGGCGGCCACACCACAAACGCGGTTGGTGTGATCTCGCAAGACTACAAGCCCATCCGATGTACAACAATGGTGCGCGCAAGCACCAAGTGATAAGAGGTGTGCAAACCTCACTAAACACTAGGCCTAAACCTAGAGCAAGCGCATAAGCGGTGGTCTAATCAATCTAAGCACTTCGCAAAGCACCTATGCTAATCACCTAATGAATCACTAAGCACTATGTAAGTGGAGATCACTAAAATGGTGTATCACCACACTTGGTATATTTCCTCAGCTCTACACTCCTCAAATAACCGGTTAGGGGTCTATTTATAAGTCCCATGGAGAAAGTAGCCGTTGGGGACGAAACCTAGCTTTCTGCTACTGATCGGACGCTGCTGTCGTCCAGACCGGACGCATCCGGTCGTCCTGACCGTTGAGCACGCGCGTAGAGATCGGACGCACTGCTAAATCCGGTCATCATCGACCGGACGCGTCCGGTCGCATTTGCGCCGCTCTGAAACCTCTCTAGATATGATCATACGCTGCACTTTGTGCGTCCGGTCATTCAGTGCCGCTGCGTCCGGTCCTCACTGAGTTATTGCCGCGACGATGAACAGTGAAGCTCGTGCGTCCGGTCACTGCCTCGCTCAGCATCCGGTCACTGCTGCTGACGCCTGCGGTTGCCGAGCAACTGATCGGGCGCGTCCGGTCCTCATAGGGCCGCGTCCGGTCACCTCTGCCGAGTTCGTTTCTTCGTGATCTTACGTCCGGTTTGGTTCCCATCTTCGTGCTTGGACTTTGCTTGATATCTTGAGTCTTCTTTTGTGCTTCTAGGGTCTTGCTTAAGGTATTGATCGTGGGATCATCATGTCGCCTTCGTCCAAGTCACGTCTTGCACTCTATTGAACTACAAAATAGTTACTTGCAAATTCATTAGTCCAATTTGGTTGTGTTGGTCATCAAACGCCAAAATCCAAAGTAAATAGGCTTAGGATACATTTTCCTTACAACGTGCACATCCAAACAAGGCCAAGGTGAAATAAATTGTCAACTATATTTATATTGAGACGTGGGAGAGAACGGACGAGTGATAAGATAAACGAGTTGCAGACTTACAACTAGCTTTGACACTTTGTAACAGGCTAAAAAAACCTTTGTAAGACAATAAGGCAGACCATGAATTAATGGTGATAACAAATTTAACTATTATATAAGTTGCTATTGGTTATAGGTGACATTGCACTAGGGTCCGGCTAAACTATTAGCCATGGTCCGACAAACTTTCCACCAGCGACTGATAAAACTTTTCAGATCAAGAGGCTACGCGTGCCGGCGTCCTCGGCGGCGGGGAGATGGCCATGGCCTCTGAGCGAGTCGACGGCGTCGTCGAACATCTCCTCGACGCCCTTGAGGTCCGCCAGCCCCAGCGCGCGGGCCTTGGACGTGTCGAAGCCGTATGTCTGCTCGCCGTAGACGCTGGGCAGGCTCCTCGGGATCGGGTACGCCGGGAACCGCCGCGCGAGCAGGGCGACGAGGTCGCCGCAGCCCAGCACCGCCGCGTTGCAGATGTACCTCCCGTGGGCGCCCGCGGACTCGTACGCCAGGATGTGGCACCTCGCCACGTCGTCGATGTGGACGTACCCCATCCTCCCGTACACCGTGAACTTCGCCGTCTCTCCTGCAAACACAGCAGCAGCGTGCTTCTCATTGCTCACCCTTTCATAAACCTTGCATGCCACAAATCGACCTTTGCATGCATATTGTTTACAAAAAAAGTTCAGTCCGGCAATCCCGTGCCGTAGTTCTTCTTAGAAAACAGTGTATCACCTGTTCCTGTTCAAGTTCTTTCTTTAACTATTTATAAATTTATCCAGTATGCCCCTTAAAGAAAACAGTGTTTCATTGGTATTCTGATAAAGGATATATGAGACTGATGAGGGTTCTGTCCTGACAGAATTTTTGCATACCTTGGAATAAGCCTAGGACATCAGAAGCAGTGGGGCTGAGCTCAGGAGACAGATTAGGTCCGATAACGAATGTCGGAAGAACAGTCACAAGGTCGATCCTGTGCTCTTTGGCAAACTCCCAGGCCGCCTTCTCGGCGAGGATCTTCGCAACGGCATACCATATCTATGGAGCAGCACATCACGATCTAAATTACTCTTCAGAGAAAATCGTTGCACAAGATCACAGCCTGAGTTTGGGTTTGATAACCTTACGCTCACCTGGAGACTTTCGCAGTACTCAATGGAGCTCCACGACGTTTCATCCAGCAACACGTTAGGGGGCAGGTCGGCTTCGTCCTTGATCCTCACGGTCGCCGACGAAGACGTCAGGACAACCCTCCTAAGGGATGGATTCTTCTTGCATGAACGTAGCACGTTCAGAGTGCCGTTTATTGCTGAATCAAGCATTTCCTCCTGCAAAGTGGCATCGTCATATTTCAGTTGCTATTTGTTCAAGATTTTCTGAAGCTGAAAACATGAGAAACCTTCAGTTTCCAACAAAAATGGAGTGGTCAGAATTGGTGTTTCGCATGCCTTGGAGTCAGATTTAGTGATGACAGGCGATGCAGCGTGGAAGACGCCCTCACAAGCCATCACAGCGTCATCAAAGCTCCCTTCCTCCAAGAGGTCAGCTCTCACAAGCTGCAGCCTTTCCTTTGCGTCTTCCAAATCCCAGAGGTGTCCTACTTTCTTGTCATTTCCTATCAAGACATGAAACGAGTTACCTTGCTTCAGTAGTGATTCATTTGAGAAGTAATAAAAATGGACATAAACCATACCAGGTATTACTAATAGATTAATTCACATCATCACAATAAGATGAAACTGACCTGGATCTCTGACTGTCCCGAGGACATGGTACCCAGACTCAAGAAGCCGTTTGACGAGCCAGGAGGCAATGAAACCAGACGCCCCAGTGACACAGACTTTACCCTTAGCAGTGCTAGCCATTCTCTCAGACTCCAGGTGCTCCTGTGATTTGATCCAAGGTAGTTTATATTTATATTATGCACATTGTTGAAGTACCCAGTATGGCTAGTGTGTCACCCCTTTTTGGTGACTCAGTTGGGCAGGTGGAGAGTTGGCTTGGTCATGTGCAGATTCCACCACAGCTTAGGAGGCTCACAGCTTCTGCACTCCACTGGATTAAACCACTCCCATCCTACAAAAGTTCACAGCTTAGAAAGGCATGAATTACCAACCTACTTGCATTGCAGGAACCTTCTTCCTTCCTACTGAGACGCTGCTTTATCAAAATTTCTTAAACATGTGTAATTTCATCAGTTCAAGTTACTGGTTAGTGGTTAGTTTGTTCCAATGGCAACTGTCACTAACAAAATGAGGCAATGCACAAGAAGTTTCATTCCTGGACATTTTATTCTGATTACATCCTTTTTCTCGAAACAAAAATCTGATTACATACTGGTTGATGATGGCATGTCACTGCAATTCAATCAAAACTGGCACAGCAAACGAATTACAGCCTTAATGTACACAAAAAATGCGTAGGGAAACTAAATTCCTACAGAGCATGCAAAATGTATGTTGTACAGTTGATCTTCCTTAGGATCCCTACTCTAGTTCGGAGTAGATTCCAAATGCTGGGAGTTAAAGAGGGGCCGTTGAGGAGGGTATCCTGGAAGGAGAGAGTTTCACACTAGCACAGATCTTCCCCTCAATATGCGCAGGTACAGGCAGGACTTGGATCACAGTGCAACAGGCAGACCTGGTAGTGTGCAAATCCACTGTCCAATTTCACTTCTGAGGAGATAGGCCAAATGAAGAAGCAATTTCTGCCAAGCGCTGCCCTGTTGAATTTGTTATGAATGCTAAAGGGACTACAGGCTGAAACATGAACTCATCGTCCTCCACCTGGAGGTCATAGCATGTTTTGAGTTCCATTGCTTTAGATTCTGCAGCTTCAGCTTCTTTACGTAGTATCTCAACTTCATCAGTATCATCTGTTTCAGTTGCAGCAGTCAATTCTGCTCTAGCAGCAACACAATCTAACCGGAGTCTTTTGTAACTTGTCAATGCTGACTTTTTTTCTTTAAGTACAATAAGCCCTTCGCATTCCTGTATCTTGTCTGTAGTTGCTACAATGTCCTTTTCTATTATCTCTAGATCAGTAGCAGCTTTCTCTAACTTACTATGCAGTTCGTCCTTTTCGGAATTAAGAGCTTTTGCCTCTGCAGCTATCCTTCCTGCTTCCTTAAAGTTTCTTGCAGCAGCCGCAACTTTCTTTTCAGCCTCTAGTTCAGGGCCCCTTTTGTCAATGAAGCTCAATTTCTGCTTAAATGAATCCATTTCTTGCTGTATGCTTGTTCTCCTTGAAGATACCTCCTGCAAGACAAAATCCAGTATAAAATATTTCGAATAGCTTACATCCAAAACAAAACATGAAGCTCAGTATTTAAATAATACAAACATTAAAAAATAAAAGAATAGTTGGTGTACCTGAAGAGTAGTTCTTGCATCTGTAATTTTTTGCCTAAGCATTTGAATGTCTTGCAAAATTTCCTCCTCCATTTTTAGCAACCCAATTCTATCCTCTCTTGACTTCAAAATCGATGATGCAAGCTTTCTTCTTATTTCAACTGATTGTTGGCAAGTTTTTGCTTCAGAGGAACAAACATCGATAATTTCCCTCAACTCTGAATCTTTTTGCTCTGTTAAAGAAATGAACCTATCAATTTCATTCTTTTTCATCACAAGTGCTTCAGTTTCTAGATCCACTTTACTTTGGGCTTCCTTCAAGGAATTGAGCTTCAAGTCAATATCTGACTGAGAGCCATGGAATCTGGAGACCACTGCACTGATTCTTTCTTGAACTTCATGGATCCGGGCATTGTTCTCAGCTATCTCTGCTTCTTTCAACCTCACCAACTCTAGAAGCTCAGCTAACTCCTTGCTGAGGATTTCTCCTTTTGTACTAAGCGTATCTTTCTCTAGTTTGTCTTCTTCAACCAAATGCTCTATTGACCCTTCCAACCCAGAACATGCTTCAAAAACCAACTGTGTTTCAACCTCCATTTCCATCTTCTTTGTTTCTAGTAACTCCATTGATGTTTGCCACCCTTCTATTTCTTTCGAGGATAATTCCTTTTGCTTGCTTGCTCTCTGAATTAGCATGTTCATTGGCATCCTAAGAAAGGTAGAGTTTTACAAATTAAGATAAAAGAGTAGATAGAAGCCATTGCAATTATACCATAAATAGCAATTGCTTGTTGTTTAGTTTGTATTGTAGATCATCGTATGTTGTTTCGACTTTTAATTGTGGTTTGGACACTAGATGGTTGCAGCAAGTTACATAACAGGAAGAAAAGATATATTGGACAAAGCTATGTGATGCAGCACAAGGACCTAATTCAGAAACTGCAACGACCAGTCCCATGTAAAATAGTAATATGTATCCTTTTCGATCATATAGGATAGCTCACATTTGCAGCCTGTAGTCAAAAGGTTGGAAATATTATCTTGTTTCAAACTTTTTGCCAATAATTACATAGTAAACATAGTGGATGACTATTCCTTGGAGCGTCAACAAAAATTGCATCAATACTACACATATTATGATAGGACGTTCCAGAATTTACAGGTTCTATCTTGTGTTGAAGGGCGGGCCTGGTGCAAGCGGTAGAGTCTTACCGCCTGTGACTGGAAGGTCCCGGGTTCGGGTCACGGTCTCCTCGCATTGCACAGGCGAGGGTAAGGCTTGCCACTGACACCCTTCCCCAGACCCCGCACAGAGCGGGAGCTCTCTGCACTGGGTACGCCCTTTATCTTGTGTTGAAAATTAGCCCCTCGCTAGGTCATGTCTATAAGTGTTCTTCAAACAAAGAAAAGATTACACCAAGATAGTATTACAAGGTAAAAATTGTAAACATGGTATATAAGTAGCAAGAATTCATATTTGAGAGTGGAAATTCAGATGCCTATGTGGTTCTTACTTTAATGTTTGAGCAATGGTTATTTGGAGCTAGTACAATTCTATGTGAAGTTAAAACAATACTGACAAAGCTAATTTACCTTTGCAAATTGCTCCAGAAGGGCAGCAGCTTCCTCCTCTGCAGCAATGCGAGACTCAAGCACCTCCTGCAGCTCCGAATCCACTGAATCATAGTCAAGCTCAGCATCACGCAGCGCTGTCAACAGCTGATCCTTCTCCTTCTCAAGCGCAGCGAGGGAGTCACTGATCCTCTCTGCCCTCTCAAAGTCCTCGGCCTCACAGGCCTCCTCCAGCTCCCTCTCCAAATCCTTGTGCCTGGATGCCACGGAGGCCGCCTCCTCCGCCACCTTCCGCCGCCGGCCAGCCAGAAGCCTCCTCTTGGCAGCCACGGCAACAGCCCTCTGCTGGATGGAGTCGAGCTTGCCAGAGATTTGGGATCTGAGGAGAGCCAGCCTCTCCTCGATCCCCAGGGCTGCAACTCCAGCATCTTCATCCTCTTTCCCATCATCGTCCTCCTTTGCCGCCTCCTCTACACGCGGTGAATTGGTATCCGCATCCACCGCCTCCGCGTGCGCCTCGTAGCCGTTGACATAGACATCGACTTGCCGATCAGGGAGCTGGTCGAGGGTACGAGTAGCGGCCGGATGCGGCGAAGCGTCCAGGAAGGCGATACTGCTAGCGGAGATCGCAGCAGCTGCTGCGGAGGCACGAACCGTGGCAGGAGGGGAAGGCGGCGCGGGCTGCGGCGAGCGGCCGTACCCGATGCGCACGGCCCTCTTCTTCTTGCGCAGCGACGAGGAGGACGGCTGCCGGGAGAGCGCCGCAGCAGTGGCTTGCGGCGCTGGCGACGGCACGGGGGCAAGCGGCGCGTGGCCCCGATCCTCACCTTGCGGGGGCGGCGGCTGCTCCAGCGAGAGCGGCTCCTGCGGGGCGAGGAGGGTGAGATCGGAGAAGAGGTCCTCGTCGAGCGGCGGTGGCGCGGAAGAAGCCGCGTCGGCGTCGGAGCCAGCGGCGGGTGGCAGCTCAGGGACAGGGACAGGGGCGGGGGCGGAGGCGGAGGCAGTGACAGGGGCAGGGACCGACTCCTCGGCGGCGGCGGGTTCTGGCGCAAAGAGGACCATGCCCTCGAAGAGCGAGCTGCCGTCCTCGCCGCCTCCCCACCCATCGTCCTGGGACGCCATCGCCGCCGCCGCTGCCTCCTGACCAATCGGTGGCTGACGGATCGGGAAGAGTAAAGACGACTACAAGGTGGGCGGTGGAGTGGACTGAGCAATGGATGTGCCGTGGGCGACGCCACCGCTGCGTGCGTTGCTAGATTAGATCATGGAGGAGGAGTAATCCGTGTGGTAATCGCCGTGATCTGGCATCCGAGTCTGTCACGGTGTTACCTTTGTCGCGTACTACCACGGAACTGCTTCGGATGAGGTGGACGATGATGAATTTCCGGGTGCCTGCTTGCGTTGCAAGGCTTACGTGGATTACTTTCCTTTTTTTCCCTGTTTTCCGTGTTTTTTCCTGTGCAAATAAACTGATTCCTCTAAAAATTTTATATGATTCTTATGAAATTTCTACCTTACAAAAGACCTTACTAATTTTGTGCTAGAATTTTGGTACAGCCGGGGGAATCGTCCTTGTTTGCTTGGAAGCAGCAAACTCTGCTAGTCCATGCCAAGAATTTCATTGTTTGCTTCTTGTGTAGGATCATCCGGTACCATAAGCATCCGTTGTTAGAACTGGACGGTGTTTCATTTCACACAAACAGAGAAGGCCTCTTTACATGAAGTTCCAAATTCTAGCAGGAACAGAGAAAAAAAAAGAGCTTGCATTTCATGTGGAACTTCAATCGGTGAGATTCCGAAGGCAATCCTCATTTTCAAGGCCCTGGCCCCTGGCTATAATATAGTCAAGGATCTTACAAGAATTGCAATAATCCACTGTATACTTTCCACGCATTTGTGCGAAAGCCTGAACAAACTTGTTTCATGGAAACCCTAGCCCCATTAACACCGGCTCCTGAATGATGGAAAACAATGACTAGAACTTCATTTCATTCCCCACGGATGCAAATGTAACCACTGTTTATGCTAAAATAGAACGAGTCGACAATAGAATAATGGACATCATAACATGTACACCTACAGCTGCATCGGTCAACAAATAGCAAAACACACCTTTACACAAGACACTGCTGCTATCGACAGTCCATGCATACACAGACCAAAATAACAGGAGTGCAGAGGACACCTGACAGACTCCTGTGTTTCCTCTACTTCAGGTTCAAACTGCGCATCATGAAATGATCTAGTATTACAGGCAATGTTAAACAGAGCCAATAGGACAAGCAGATTTCATCTCGACTCATGGGATTCGATCCCTCTGTGCGCCAGGTGGAGCAGCTGGCATTGGGAACGGACAATAGACTCCGTTAACATGAGGTGCCTCCACATATGGGCTCTAGAAAACAGAAGAAAGCAAGTCAGTGGCTTGCATGAGAAAGAGTCAGGAAGCTTTTCCAAGATATCAATAACTTGATGGTGTTACAATGGCAAAGCAATCATGTTTACGAAGAGGAGCTGTTACCGGGACAGGAGGCTGATTAGGAGTGAACGGTGCCTCCCTCGTTGGGGATGAGTCAGGGGAGCTGCCATCATTGTCGTCCATGTTGTCTATATTCTTCACTTGTGACGTTTCCCCCTCGCTAGGGTTGAGCTTAACCCGCTAAGTGGAGCAAGAATAAAACTCAGATACTGGAAACGTCAACGGCTTTATTGCTATACAAACAGAAATTGAGCAATACCTGAAAAATTCTTCCTAAAGTTTTTAAGCCTTTAGCACGAAGGCGCAATTCCTCCTTCCTGGCACTACTGTCTTGAAGTACCTGGTATTGGTAGTGTTAGAAATCTACAGCTACACTAGCCATGTTAATAAAGTACTAATGGCTGCAAAGGGAAAGGTGCAGTTGTTGGGACAGACCATTTGACAGACATGGGATAATGTGGCTTCTATGTCAGCAACGTTAAGCTTCCACAAGGAATCAACCATGACTTCCTTGTGGTTTTCCATGTACATTTCAAGTTCTGCCTCTGTGTACTGGCCCTCGGCACTCATATACTTCCTCAAGTCCTCTTGCAACTGCATAAGAGCTATTGCACCTGCCAAATAAGGAAACAACAATGTGTCAAAAACTAAGGAGACAACAAAATTCATGAAAAACATAGCACATCAACATAGATGATGCCAAAAACTGCATTATATGCTTCCAAAATTTTCAGACAAAACTCCAGTTAAACAATGATTAGTTCTACGTTACCTGTGGCAGCTGTTACTTGGGATTTGATAAAATGCCCTTTGTCTCTGAACCATTCAGCAATAAATGGAACCCCCAAAAACATAGCTTTCTTTCCAAGTTCTTTTGCAGCTTGCCTTGAATATACATAGCCAATAGTGTTCAACAAAACAATTCCATATGCTGCCATATAAGCAAAACAGAACCAAAAGAGGGAAAAACTTCAGTTAACAGAGCACAACTTCTTACCTGGAAAGAACAGATTAAAAGAATAGCCTGAAGTGAACAAAGATTGAGTGCATACTGATAACACTAAACAACAGGTTTGGCCAAAAAAATATTTCCCATAGGATTATGACACTATCATAAACTTCAGGGATAAGGAAGAATGGCATATCTGCCAGCTGTGATCTTATGTACACCTTTTACTTCAGATAAGAGGTCGGTTTCAAACCTTATTTTCAGTTATTAGTTAAGAGGGCATTAAGAAATTCGAATGTGCTTCTCGTGCTTCTATTTTCTGCTGCATTTAGGCGAATAAACTCAATAAGTGGTTGTTTTAAGAGTGATGTCAAATGCAGTAATACTTGTCAAGATATTTAACTTATCTATTGAACCATATGATAAATAAAAGAGACAAGAAAAACTTATTCAATACCATACGCCAACTAAGAACACAGACAGCATGGGATTAAAAGGAAGAACATATTTAGCATTGAGGGACAGAAGGGATTCGTAACGGCTAAAACCTGCATTGCTAAGTTTGGACACCTCTGCTTCAGCATGCTGGATGAATTCTTCCTTATTTCCTTGAACATAAGTGTGTAGCCGGTTTTTCAGCGTCTCTGCAAGTTTTTCTTCCCGTTCCTTTTGAACAGCCTGCAGTTTTAGTTTTCCATTCAGCATGATATTATTGCAGAAAGAGTATGAAATGCAAAAGAAAAAAAGAAAAACATGGATGGGATATTGACCAACCAACAACCATGATGATATTAAGTTATTAACCAACTATCTCGAAGTTTATATAACAATCCTGCTAAAGGAACATACCTGCATTCTCTCTTGCAGCTTTCTTGCATCAATTTGCTCATCTTCACCAAAATTATCAAGTGAAGCCATTGATGCCATTGCCAGTTGACCAATGTAATTCTCAAAAAGCTCACTACCAAATAGAATTGCAAAAATTGCTGCTGGATCAATAATTCCTTCCCTGTCAAATGTTGAAACCATGTGAGTAGGGATTTTGCTCTCTCATAAGATTATTTGCAGCATGAGTGAAATCACCGGTTAACCTAACAAAATCCCATCTTCGGTGGGAGAACATTATTTGCTCTAAAAAAGTTCCAAATATGATATCCATGATGGTTAATCATGAATCCTGACTCTATGAGCTTAACACCCTCCCCTTTTGGTACAGCATCTGTTTCCTACTCAAAAGATGCAGCAGAATCATGCCATTTGGTAGCACTCCAAAGCAGTGCCAAAAAAAAGAAGGCCTTGGACTGGTTTGGAACAACATGAAATAGTTTGATTCACATAGGAATAGGAAAATTTTCCCATGTTCCAACAAGCCCTAGTTCCTTTGACAAGCGGCAGCATGTAATTTATTTGTAATTGAACATACGTTGAGATGCCGTCTTTCCCATGTGAGTCATAAGCTTGGCGCTGTGTGGGATCACTGAGAACTTGGTATGCTTCCCCTAGTTCCTGTTATGAAAATTCTATTGAGAACGAAATAGTATGCAAAGTTGCAAACAAAACTTTGGAAAGAGCATCATATCTTTCCTCATAAAGTAATGCCACGTAATGGTATCAAATCGTATTTTAAGACTGGTCATGAAGAATCATATAAGGTATATATAGCCATTCAGTAGCAACGCGCAACATGTTCATTAGTGATGTAGAAGTGTTTTCACTGTAAGCATGCATCTATGTCACATATTCAGATAGAGGTAGAGGGAGAGAGAGTCACATATCACAGTTTGTCAGTATATAATATCACCAGAATCACAAGTAAAATGTCATCATAATTGTCCCTGCACACAGTCACAGACACCATACTAGTGAAATAGCCTAGCTCAATGCAACAAGTAAAGAGCATTCAACCTACATTGAGGATGTTATCTTTGGATAAAGGAGTTTGTTGCGGAATTGAGAAATTCACGTCTCAAGTATGAGCAATCCTATTTCTAAAACAGAAATGCTATACAACACACATGTGTTTTAGCACCAAAAAACACATGGATTTTTTTGTCCCTCTCTTTTCTTCCGTTTCCTGGCTTGTCTGGTTGGAGAGAGATACGTGCGCAACAGATTCCTCCCTTCCCTCACCGACCTGCGCTGCCCCATCCACCTTCCTGCCCTGTGGGCCCCGCGCACTCTGGAGTCTGGACGGCGCAGACGCGCTTCAGGGCCGCACAAACCCGCCGGTCCTCTACGTATACGCGTGCGGCCGGACCCGATTTGTCCTTTTGTCCTTGCATAGAAAAAAATTGTTTCTTGTGATTTGTGATTGTCTAGAGGTAGAAGGATGGAGGTAGGAGGCTGGAGGCTGTTGGATCTTAATTCTATGGTGCAAAAAAATTCATGTGTTGAAACTGCATAAAACACAAGGTTGTTGGGTAGACAGACTCTTCTAAAAACAAGACAAATGAAAAGTCTCAATGCGACCTTTCTTTTTAAAATGACATTATGATACATGTATAATGTCTCCATTCTTAAAGCAGTAGCCAGATATTTTGTAGGCTACAAAGAAGAATGACTATCTAAATGTGCATTACAAAATGATATGGAGCAACTCTTCAGTATAAAACACTAAAACAGTAACAGAATGCGTCATATATGTCTGAATTAGATTTTGTTCACTCGTCAAAATTGTTGTTTAAGAACTAGATTCCTATTAATCATACTTCCTGTAATAGATTGTTTTGACTATCCTGTTAGCAATATTAAGGTATCATTGAAGTGAACAGTCGTTCAATAGCAAAGTACTACGTCTAGCCACCTAATAAAACCTATTTAAACCAGTAAACCCGGCAGTTAGCACTGCCAAAACTTTTTGGGCATTGGCGTCGAGCAATAAGTCCCTAATCTGATTGAATCAAGGATTCTACACTACAGGCAGAGTAGCTCGCAGCAGCATCTGTTAGCTGAGCCATTGAATCGAAGATTGTACACTACAGGCAGAGTAGCTCGCAGCAACATCTGTAAGCTGAGCAAAGTATAGATACCACAAGCTGAGAAATGGCAAAAACACCTATACCTGGAACTTCTCCGCGGCCTGCGGATCATTCGGGTTCTTATCGGGGTGGACCAGCCTCGCCTGCACAGACACAACCAGCAGCAGCGACAGGAATCAGATCAAACGCCCGCGGCAGAGCAAGCGGGAGCGAGGAGCCGGCCGCTTACCTTGACGTAGTACGCCTTCTTGATCTCGGACTCGGTGGCGGACGGGTCCACGCCCAGCACGTCGTAGTAGCGCGTATCCTTCACCATTTTGGCTCTCTCTGCTCAAGCTTCGATCTCCCCTCCGACTCCCACCGGATCAGGCTCCAGGTGGGAGCGGATCCGTCCGGGTATCCGGTTGGTGGAGAGGTGACGGGGTGCACCGGATGGTGGGAGCTGGCGGCGGTGGCTGTGGCGGCGGCGCGCGGGGGGGGACGGCGCCGGGGTCGGGGGAGAAGCCGGCTTTTGAGGTCCGGCCACGCACACAGCGCGTCGACTAGACTTTTTCTAAAGTTTTCAGGGAGAATTTTGTCAATTGCCACGCCCACGCGCACAGGCCGTTGGCCAAGTTGCCAAGTTGGACCGGGACCCGCCCGTGGACTGTAGTCCAACGACGATGCATTTTGCTAAATCCAAATAGTCCTAAATTACAGCTCAAAAGAAACTATAATTCAAGCCTCCAGCTCAAAAGGAACAATTCGAGGTTAGGTACTTTAGCATATTAATAGGACACAACATGTCAACATTACACATAGGAATTAGTACTTAATAACGCAATAACAAAGCCTGATCGAGTGACTTCTCAAAACTAAAACTAGCATTTTGTAGGTGGGATAGGGCTTTAGACTTTGGATTAACAGAAATCCCACAATATTCCAAACCTACAAAAAATTGTTCTAACCCCGCCATTTTGATCTTGGTTTTATGGCGATGGTAATTTTATTGAAAGTTCTACTTTTAGGGATTGACTCGTCTCATCTTTTTATTAGTATATGTGCACATTAGTTTAGTGTTGATTATTGCCGGTGATGATTACTTGAGAGAGGGGATAGATAGACCTAGTAAGATTTATAATTAATATCACAAACAAATTACAGCAAGTCGATGCGATGTCTTATCTTATAAAAGTTACAACAGGCTTAACCAACTAAGAGGAGCACCAAAGAAAGAAACTGCAGCAACCCAATTTACATCCTCTACTACTTACGCCAAATTTTTATCTAATATTTACTTTATTTAAACAAATAAGTTAATGTTGTCTATTTTAGTGGGAAAACGATTGAGTTACAAGGTTATAGGCTAAGGCCACCCTCAATAAGGCCCCCGGCGTTGCTAGGTGAGCTGAATGAGAGAAATAAAAAAAAATATTTTACTCTTTTTTTTATCGTCTAGTTTCACATGTTCTTCTTTCAAATTCTCAAAAGACGTGTAAAATGTTTGACGATTTGTTCATCACTAGCGAACGGTTTCTCTCCTTGCTCTGTCGTCCACATGGACAAGGGCTGATGTCTGGCGACGTGGCCCACCATTGCGGACACCCTTAATGTCTTAAACATATACCTATCTATCTCTATATGTATCTGTATCTATATTTATAGCTGTATCTGTATCTCTATCTTTACTGAATACTCCCTCCACTCTAGTTTATAAGACATTTATTATATCTCTATCTCTAAATATATCTATATCTATATTTGTATGTGTATCTCTATCTCTACCAAGTACTCCCTCCACTCTAGTTTATAAGACATTTTATTATATTGGTCAAGAGTCAAACTTTATAATCTTTGCTCAATCATTTGGCTAACAGCTCTTAACTATTATATACAAACTTGATAATATTATATCTATAGTAAAATTACTATCCAATAGTCATAATTTTATAACCATAAAAATATAATATAATATAATATAATTGCACGGTCGACGTGTAATTTAGAAGATCATGCCACCAAAGAGAGTACTAGAGAGCAAATAGCCTCTTCCAACCCGTTTTTTATTCTCAAAATGCTCTTGCGTGTTCCATGTCACGTATATGGTCCAGACTCACAACCCAACAGCTCGTGTCCAACGATGGTACGAGATCTAACTTCAAGACATATTAGATCATGTTGTAGCCCATGGGCATGTTTGATAATATAATACTAAAGAGCGAAGTGATTTTTTTCATCTGCCTTTCTTTTATCAAAAATGCGCTTGTGTTCCATGTCGATCCGGAATCACGACCGTTCTCATGAGTTAGAACAAATCACATTTAAGAATGGTATAAAATCTAATTTCAAAACTTATTGAATTGCATTGCAACACATGATATTTTTACTAAGGCCCCCCTTTGTAACGCAGGATTGAAAAATGATGGAGCAGGAGAAACGCAGGAATGTGATAGGAATGTATATGCAAAATAGAGAAATGAAAAATGTAGGAAGTTTATATGAATAGGTGTTTGGATGACTTGCAGGAGAAATACACAAACACAAAGGAAAGTTTCCTCTGTTTTTCCTACATGCAATTCCTGTGAACCTAAGAGCACTATAGTGATTCAATCTCTAGGAATGTGAATCCTACATTTTCCTTTATTTTTTCTGCAATTCAAAGAGGGCCTAAATGATAATTGTAGAAGCACTTTACTAAACGACAATTGTGGAAGCACTTCAAAATTTCGAAAAACATAAGGCACAAAATGACGAGAATACCCCTGACCCTGAGCAGCGAGTCAGTAACAGGGTGACGGAGTGACAGCTCACCGTCTCCCTCCGTGTCGACGACGGTCGCTACCGTTTCCAGCCTCCTTTCGTCCTCCACTACCGTTTTTTTTTCTCGCTCCCCGATTCCATCGACTCCTCGGCTCGCCGCGCCAGACAGGGGCTATTCGGTGAGAGACCATTATGGGAAGTGGGCTTCGACGAAATGCCATCCTACAACGGGGCTTCGCCAGGATGCCATTATCAAGTGCGACACAACCGCTAGAATGCCATCCGAGGGAATTTGGAGCCTTTTATTCCCCTTCTACCCCTCCCTTCTCTCTTTTCCTTTCACGGTCGCGATTGGGACAGACGGAACGGGAGCCACGAACGGATCGAGCTCTCGGGCTCTTCTCCTCCGTCACCGAGGTACCCTTCAGAAACTGCTGTCATGGAGGCCATAGGAATTTTGATTCTAAAATGAAATTTATGCTAGATACAGTTGCGATGTCAAAACACAAAATGTGTCACTTTTAGTTGCAATAGCCACAACAGATTCTTTGTGATGCAACACACAAACTCGCTCGCATAAAGTCACTGGAGCTTTGATTTTGGAGACATTTAATGTTCCAGAATTGTTAGTCAAGTACATACTTTGTTAACACAACTATTGTCGACAGCTCGATTGTATTGAGCATACAAGTTTTCATACAAGTTATTAGCAATATAGTACAGCTATATGATCACACGTTGTTTTGCTTGTAGAGCTTCGTGTCCAACACTTGCTTCCCACACATTGCGCACACTCCTGGAAAAAATCAATATTATGATCAGAATAAGGAATTAACTAATTTCAGAAGCATTTTGTTAAGTCATGAACTATATGATAGTGATACTTCCAATGTGTCAATGCACTTAAAATTCATTTACCATGTTCCCTTTCTAGTGTGTTTCTTACCTTTCGAGTAAGCACAGGTGTGGCAATATTTTGCGTCCTGGTGCACCTGTTGCTTGCAGATTATACATTTGGTGTTTCCATATGGAGTCCACCTGTGATTAAGCAGAAGTGTGTAGAATTAGACCACAATCACAATATTACCTTCAATGGACAACAGATGTGATTTGAATATTAAGTTACAAAAAAGAACATACTGTGATTTCAATAGAGACAACAAAAACATATAGCTTGTTCTGGAAAATATCCAATGAGGCTAAAGAATCCGTAGATACAGAAAACTCAGTTAAAATTTTAAGCAACATATTTAGAAGGAACAGATCTTGACTCCTGACCAAACAAACAGGATATCAGCCACACACTGGTGACACATGATATTTCCATGGAAATTCAAGAGCACCTTGCTTGAACATAAGGATCAAATAAATATGAATTTTGATTAAAGATTCCTAAATAAAAATTGGAACATGTGCCTTGTTGTCTTCCAGATCTGTGACACTTGCAACAAATAATTCACCATCTATTCAGTTAAGAACTAAGGAGGCCATCCTTACTACGGCCCTACATTGAAGAGAGATAAACTTTGAGGGGGCTTTTTTTGGAACTTTTTTTTGGGGGGGAACTTTGAGGGGGCATTAGGCTACCATGCTACCACCATCGTGGTACCAAACTGTCAAGAACAAGAGCTTGTACTCTTGTACAACCGACATACTATCAGTCTGATTCAGTTGAAGGCTTTAAGGGAAAAAATGAGGGCTAACACAATATTCTAAAATTAAATGATTTAGGTGGCTCAAAATTCAAGAAATCAAGTCTACCAGCCTGTCGATTGAGTTGGACCAGCAAACAATTTGTTTGATTGATTGGTTACTGACTTACTGTATACTATCTTCATGACTAGTAGAGCCATTAACTCTGGTGATTTGCCTCTTTATTTAAGAAAACGAAAGCTCCTACCCTGATGTGTTGAAGGTATCCCAGAAAACTAAATTGGAGCCCAAGCAACAGGCATCAGCTATTCGTGCGTGATGTCAGCCCAACCCTGACCGCAAAGAACTACTAGTAGTAGGGGAGAAGGCTCGACAGGGGCAGGGGAAGGGAGGATGAGGGGAGAGCTGACCTGTTCTTCTTGGAGAGGAGCTTGTTTTCGTTGATCTTGCGGCCACTGTTCTCGTTGGTGTTGCTGACGCCCTCCTTCCACTTGTCAGGCATCTAAAGGCGTGGGAAGGCGGATTGAGCGGGCGGCCGTGGGGTACCTCGGCGATGGAGGAGAAGAGCCCGAGAGCTCGATCCGTTCGTGGCTCTCGTTCTGTCCGTCCCAATCGCGACCGTGAAAGGAAAAAGAGAGAAGGGAGGGGTAGAAGGGGAATAAAAGACTCCAAATTCTCTCGGATGATATTTTAGCGGTTGTGTCGTACTTGGTAATGGCATTCTAACGAAGTACCGTTGCGGAATGACATTCCGTCGAACTTCCCATAGTCTCTCACCGAATAGCTCGCCAGACGGTGTTGAGTTGGTTCGTCTGTGAGGAGAGAGACCACCCAAGACAGCGATGGCGGGGACGCGAGGGGCGGCATTGCTGCTGCTTCTGCTGGCCACTTCGGCGGCGGCGGGCGGCGAGAAGGTCTGCGACAAGGGGTGGGAGTGCAGCGGCAGCCGGTTCTGCTGCAACGAGACCATCGGCGACTTCTTCAAGGCGTACCAGTTCGAGGAGCTCTTCCCCAAGCGCGACTCCGATCTCGCCCACGCCGCTGGCTTCTGGGATCACAAGGCCTTCATCACCGCCGCCGCGCTCTTTGAGTCCCGTGGGTTTGGCACCACCGGAGGCAAGGAGATGGGCATGAGGGAGGTCGCCGCCTTCCTTGGCCACGTCGGCGCCAAGACATCCTGTACGCTACGCTCTCTTCTCTTTGCTAACCACTCTATAATTGAGCAATCGGATGCCCTGGGATCGACTGATAGATTCAGATGATTTGGTTTTTGAACTGATCGCTTGATGCAGGCGTGCTCACTAGTAGAATTCGCGCTCTAGGCATTTAGGCATGCTCTTGTATGCTGAGATCTGTAGCTAGATTTTTGTAGATGAGTGTAGGATTCGAGGAAAAGATGATTTGCCTGATATTGAATTGAGGATCTCAATTATCTGGCCTTCTCCAAAGAATTTCACAGAATACCTTAAGCACTAGGATCACAAACACAGACAATGGAAACACGTGTTGTTTGTTTCATTTCAGTAATACTTCCTCCATCCCAAATTGTAAGTCATTCCAAGAATCTTGGAGAGTCAAACTTTTTCAAGTTTGACTAAAATTATAGAGAGAAACACAAAGATTGATGACATCAAATAGGTATAATATGAAAATATAACTAATGAAGAATCTAATGATACTTACTTGGTATGATAAATATTATTATTTTGTTATATAAATTTGGTCAAATTTGAAAAACTTTGACTTTCCAAGATTCTTGGAATGACTTACAATTTGGGATGGAGGGAGTATCTAACTGTCGAATGCAATGGCATACCCTGTGATAGTTCTTACAGTATCTGGGTTTTAGATCTGCCATCCAGTTTTTAATCCAGGAAAACAAACTGTAATAGATTTTAGTTTGATCTAGTTGTGACTTATGAGGTTAGCCAGGTTGGATTTACACACTGTAGTTCTGTTTGATTGATTGGAAACCTTGTGTAGATTAATCTGAATTTCGTCTGATATTATTATTATAATACACTAAATACTGGAATGATGCGTTCGGTTAGGTGGATACAAGGAAGCGCCTGATGGTGAAACAGCTTGGGGGCTTTGCTACAACCACGAATTGAGCCCAAGCCAGAGCTATTGTGATGATAGCAACGAATTATACCCTTGTGGTGAAGGAGTTGAGTACTATGGCCGAGGTGCTCTTCCTGTTTACTGGTGAGGCTGATATGCCCTGTCTTCACTTCTGTTGGTTATGAGTTGAGCAAGTTAAGTGATTGACGATTAGCTATGCTGTTGATGTTTCCCAGGAACTACAACTACGGTATCGTTGGGAAGGGTATCAAGCAGGATTTGTTGAACCACCCAGAGCTACTGGAACAGAATGCCACACTTGCATTTGAAGCAGCCATTTGGAGGTGGATGACTCCAATGAAGAGGAAGCAGCCATCTGCTCATGATGTGTTTGTTGGTAACTGGAAACCCACCAAGAAGGACACATTATCCAAGAGGTATCCTGGCTTTGGTGCTACCATGAACATCCTGTATGGTGATGCCATCTGTGGTAAAGGATCCACCGATAAGATGAACTTCATTATATCCCATAACCAACATTATCTCGGCTTGATGGGAGTTGGCCGCGAACACTTTGGAGATAACTTGGATTGTGGTGACCAGGTGGCTTTCAATCCATCATCAGAGAGTTCTGACTTCTAAGAAATATGTTTAAAAAATCCTTGAATGCTTGGCTTCCCCAGGCTATAGAGACCATATCTGTGAAACAATGCAATATACTATTGAAGCAGAGAATTAAAATCCAGTTATGTGTCAAATGCACTGTAAATTATGTTGTCTCTGTTGTTGCTTATTCTTTTCAGATGTCATGTATATTGTTTCAGCAATAACCTTTTTCTTTGTAGGTTGGCCCCTTTTGTTTTGAGCTAGTATAGTTTAATCCGTCACTTCTAGTTGAGCTAAGCTTCAAATTAGGGTCTCATGGGTTGCTTTGCTTTATGAATTCAGTCAATTGACGGTGCATGTTTTTTGTCTTTTGGGTCATTTTGTATTTCATATTATTCTTGCAAGGCTATTTTGAGAGGCACAATTTTGGAGAACTCTTCATCTTGTAAAATCATAAACAAAAAGACAAGGTATGTTTGTGCCACAGTGAAAAAGACATCAAAGACAGTGAAATTTCATTGTGAACTACAGAGATAAGCAAGGGTCTTTGGAGGCATAGCTGTAGGACAAAAAATGGAGGGATAAATATCTTTGGAACACAGCTTATCCAAGTGACTTCGTGGGGACCGGAAGTTGGCAACCACACATGGATAGCCAGGCATAGATAGCCTGACTAGTGGGTTGTGTCCTTTTCTTTTTTTTCTTCATTTCAGAGCTGTGGCAGGCTGGTAGCTCTTACTAGAGAAGGCAAGCCGGGAAAGGGGATGGAGCTCACCAATATCCCCTATATTGCGTCGTCTTCCTCCTCCAGCTGCTTCTACTACAGCTACAGTAGCTGTGCCTGCAGGTGATGTTAGAGAACTCTCATTCCTGTATGCAGATGCAGTCTCGTCTACATGGAAACAAATAACCTGAGAAGTCATTATGTACAGAGGTAGAAGAGATGGGAAGCTGGTAATAAAAGCTTCTGCAGCTGGTAGTAAGCGTGCTGCTGATTCAGTATGTTCACAACTCTCTGAGCAGCAGGAAATTGAAGATTCCATTTCAGGTACACATCGCAGTTCTTATGCTTTGTGTTTCAGTTAGAACCTCATATATCACTTGGTTCCAAATCATTTTTGCTGAAGCTGTAAATATTTTAATGACAATGGGAAACTTTTTGTTGCTTGGGCTGATGCCAGACCATGGAAATTAATATAGTCAACTCAAAGTTTCTCTTCTCTGGTGGCTCCAGGTCCCAGATCATCCTGGCGTATGAGAAGGAGAGACTTTGCTTCTGCCATTTTACTCCCTTTTCTGATTCCTCGTATTAACATCTCTATTGCGTAAGTGCATTATTATCACTGAATTTGGCTATTCAGCTCTTAAAATTACCAACCGACATTCAAAAGATCATCTTCTTGATGTTTCAAATGGTAAATACTGTGTGAACATGGACTTAGAAGGAGAAGCATGTAATGAGCCATATTTGAAAGGAGATTTGGAAGCATACTGGGCTAAATAGATGAAGCTCGCCTACAAGCTCACAGGATCTCTGAAAACAAGCGCTCTCCCTTCCTTTCTTGGATAGATTTGTGTACATAGTTTGGTCCAGCCTGCCTCAGGCTACCTGTTTCCTTCTTTGCTGCTGTTTTTTGTTCTGTCTCTTTTGTACAGTTGGTTCTTTTTGGTTTAATAAATTACTAACAGTGGGGGCTTCCCCTGCTGTTGTTCTTTCAAAAAAAAGAAGAAGGAGAAGCATGTATTGAGCCATAGTCGAATCTAGTAAACTTGGAACAGTGATCTAGTAAAGGAAAGATCCTAAAATCTGTTTCTTGCTCCTAAAACAATAGTGTTATTTATAAGAGAAGTTATCTGGTTGATTGCACAGGGCTGAGATATATGATGCATCAATTATTCGAAGTGGTGTGAGGAATGTTTTAACCAAGGCCAAAGCTGCTGGTGTGCTTCGATTGGTTTTCCATGATGCAGGGACTTTCGAAATTGGTGACAAATCAGGTTAGCCTCTTAACACCATGGTTGATTTCAGGTTGAAGTAGTACACTATCAAATTCATTGGACTAAGAAAACTGATAGGTTTTTTAGTAGCATTTGTATAAGAAAACTTCTTAATATAATGATACACATCTCTTCTGTGTTTTCGAGAAAAAAAAGCCTTTGTCTATGAAAATGATGCAAAATGGTATTGTTAAGGAGATATAAATTCTATTTGTAAAAGGAAAGAAATAACACCATTTGTGGTGCATACACTGGTAAGATTGCTATCTCATTGCTATATTAGTTCAGCAAAGAGACATATTTTCCTTTCCTCAGACTACCAATATTGATACCTTTCAGGTGGCATGAATGGCTCTATAATTTATGAAGTTGACAGACCTGAAAATACTGGGCTAAATAGATCCATAAAGGTGTACTCCCCCTACCCCACCCACTGAGTGTCTTTGGGACAATAAATTGCTTTATCTTTACTTATTTTCTTGAATAATATCATATCCTTCTTGATAATATCTTTCCTTTAGTTGATGTCTATTTAATTGCCTCATAATTGAACAGATACTAAGAAAAGCAAAAGAAGGAATTGACAACGTTCATAAAGGTATGTAAATTATGCCATTTGCTGGCTTGCACTTTCTTTATGGACTCCAGTTTGGGTGTTTCACATGAGTCAAATTTCCTGCTGTTTCTGCTGACAGTGTCATGGGCGGATTTGATTGCCGTGGCTGGTGCTGAGGCAGTTGCGCTCTGTGGTGGGCCTGAGATTCCAGTAAGGCTAGGAAGATTAGATTCTAGGTGAGACATCACAGTGAATTTTTATTTTACTACTTTAACCTACAATTTAAGAAAGCTATATATTCCAGATTGTGTTTTGTCTCTGTATCAGTAGTTTTCTGAAGAACTCAATTTTTTTTTTTTTTTTTTTTTTGCAGCACTGCTGATCCAACTGGTAAACTTCCTGAAGAAACATTGGACGCAACTTCCTTAAAAACATTATTCAGCAAGAAGGGCTTTTCGTGAGTTGTCCTTTTTCTCAAATTATATATATTTTGTGAATTCCAGTTCTTAATTTTGGTCTATTTTGTGGACCTCAGCTCCTCTGACCTGGCAATATTTGAACAGATTTTATGTTTAATCCCTCTGCCTTCTAGCCATTGCTCCATAAACCAGGTTGTGTTAATTAGACTCTGTCTAAAGTTATATTTGGTACTTAACAGGGTGCAGGAGATGGTTGTTTTATCTGGAGCACACACAATTGGAGGTAAAGGATTTGGGAGTCCAATTGTTTTCGATAACACCTATTTCAAGGTGCTCCTTGAGAAGCCGCAAACATCTTCAAGTAAGTGCATGCCCTTATTAATTGTTTCGATCCTGTTTCTATCTCCCTTGGACTTTCGAGAGGACTTGTCCATCATAACCCATTTGATGTTTATGCTTAATCATCAAAACTTACTGTGTGGGCTTATCGTGTTCCTTTGTGAAGCTGGCATGGCGGCAATGGTTGGGCTCCGCACGGACTGGGCACTCACCGAAGATGACGAGTGCTTAAGGTAGTTTGATGAAATATGAACTACACCGGCTTTCCTCGATAACATCTCTTTCCCTCAAGTACTAATTCCGTAAGAAAAATTTAGCATGTGGCTACATGGAATTAGATGGGCCAAGAAAATGCTAAATGTTGCATGCTTGAAATCTGCAGATGGATCAGGGTCTATGCAGAGGACCAAGCTAGATTTTTCGACGACTTCAGGGATGCATACATCAAGCTCGTAGACAGTGGAGCCTCGTGGAGAACAGGCCCGTTTGGCACGGCTTCCGCCGGCTCCGCCTCCACCTGACAAAAACTACGCTAATCACTGTAGCGATGAGCCGGTTTTCTCTCTCCACCTTTTCTGCCTCACTGTAGCGCGGTACTGTAGCATGCAGGAGATGAAGCCAGAGAAGCCCGGGAAACGAGCTTCTCCGGCTCCGATGAACAGTGCGAGTGTCAGTGAGAGGGGGAGAGGAGGAGAGAGGAAAGCCGCTTCTATAAACAGTATGCTACAATGTCGGTGTCAGGGAAACCGGAGCCGGCGGAAGCCGTGCCAAACGGGCCTTTAATTAGAACTATCTATTTCTCTATACAATGTTAATGAATCTCCCCCCGTACCAGTGTCTCTTTTGGAACATACGAGTCCCACTGAAATTTTACCAAAACACAAAGCATTTTATTTGCAGAAGGTTAATCGGAAAAAAGGCTCTATTTTAGATTCATCCAACCTGTATTCTCCCCAGCCATGAATCAACGATTTCTTGCACAAAACTTGTGAGACAAGAGTTTACAAATTGTTATTCCCTCGGTCCCAAAACAAAATAATCTCTAGAATCACCCTAAGTAGACTATTTCAAATCTGACAAGCTTTATAAGAAATGGTAACAATATTTATGAGTAAGTACATTTTGAAAATATATTTCATGATATATATAGTGAAAAAATATTTCTGTTAATTCAAATTAATGGAAATGAGGTTACTCGGGTGGAAAAAAATCTAGTGAAAAAATTAGTTAAATTTAGCGTCATAAAAATTAACACTAGTTTCTATAATAGTTTGATTTAGAATAATTTAATAAACTAATTTAATTTGGGACGGAAGAGTACTGAAAAAATAACTGGTTCACTCCGACAGCACAGCATGCCAGGAGGAACCACACATCTTTGTCCATGTGTACAACGCGCTCCAAGTCTCGAACACGATAAGCTCCTACAGCCAGTGGTTGGTTTCATGCGCGGCTGAAGCTGTAGCAGGCGATGGAATGAGGCTCGCCGCAGCCAAGCCTGGAGCCATCTCCCTCGCCGAACGCCAGCCGATCGCGATCCCCATCCCCACATGCAGCTCCAGCTGCAAGCAGGCCAAGACGAAGAACTGTAGCGACCGGCTGGCATGGAGGGTCGCAGTGGCAAGCGGCGACGCCGAGGCTGACGGTGCCGAGGCGGGCGCTGGCGCGGGCCAGGCACCGACGGCGCGAGCGGGGCGGCGGGCCCGGCTGTCGGCGAGGCGGCGGGAGCGCGTCTCGCTGCCGGACGGCGTCTCCGGCGTCGGCGAGTTCCTGCGCCACCCGGACGCCGTGGAGTCCCTCCTCAACACCGGCGCGCTCGAGAGCTTCGCGCCCGCGGGGTCCGGGCCCGGCACTTTCACCTGCGCGCTGCGCCGCATCGGGCTCCTCGGCTTCGAGGTCGCGCCGGTGCTCGACCTCCGCGTCGCCCCGACCAGCACCGACTGCACCATCGAGATGCTGTCGTGCAGGGTACGTGGCCGCCGCCTCAGGCCGCACGTGTATTCATCGCCGTCCACGTGGGTAGAAGTGGATTGGAGCGGAATTGAACTAAATTTTATTCCATTACACTCCATCCCACGTGGATTGAGGTGGATAACAGACCTCAATGATTTTCTGATCCTCGTCTGCTCTTGGGATCGGAACATTCACTGATCTGAGCTTCTTCCCTGCATGTTTTCAGTTTGAGGGTTCAGAAGCACTCGAGCAGCAGAATGAATTCTTTTCAGGTAAGTTCAGGCGTCTGTTCATCACTTGTGCCACCGATTAGCCATTCTGAAAATCAAGTGTTCTTCCACAATCAATGTGAATGTGATCGATTAGCTATTCTGCAAAATCTATGATGCGTTCTTCTTCTTCCCCCATCATTCGGATTTCTGAAACTCCTGAATTTTGGCAGCGTTTATGAGTAACCATATAACGTGGAGCGACGATGCCGAGGAGCCCTGCCTAGACATCGATGTCAGCTTGGAGGTCACTCTGGAGGTATGCTTTCCATTCACTACTCGGCTGTAAGGTTTCTTATATTCTTTTTTTTTCAAGTTAGAATATACGAAGCTAATAGTGTGCCGATTACAATTTACAGGTCTACACTAAGCCATTCAGCATGCTTCCACTGTCAGCAGTGGAGAAACCAGGCAACCTGTATGTATGCCTGCCTGTACATTCTTCACACTTCCATGTGTTATTTTAGAACAAACTCTGGAAGAGAGCACCAGTGCCCACCTGAATCTTGTTAAAAACTAGTAGCTCTGAAAGACACCACGCAGACACTTTACCGACTAATAGAAATTATGATGGTTCATACTGTATTGTGAATTGTGATCAGTTTTCACAATTCATAATGACACTTGGATTTGACATTTCCACTGAATTCTGTTGCAGTTTGATGCAAGGCCTGCTGGACATGCTTGTTCCCATGCTGGGAGAGCAGTTGCTGAGGGACTACCATTCCTGGGTTCAGCTTCAGCAGCAGCAGCATGAATCGTCTTGAGGCAGTCTCACTTCTTGTTAATGAAATATGCGTTAAGTCGTGTTCTTGAAAAAAAAAAGGCGTCTTGATGAGATTGAGGCAGATGACCGGCCATCCTTCAGAGATCTGGGAAGGAGTTCTGGGGATCCATGCTTGGGATGGTTCATTGCAAAATTGGTTGCTCATGTATATACAGTACAGCTGTCGAAGGATTTAGCAAATCCAGATATAAGAATTCCTGAATCAAGATGCTTGATTTTGGTGCACCAACTGGCCATCAATTTGTGCTTGTGTGCAGTACTTCATCAGTAAATAAAAACTCTGCTGTTTTTACTTCATCAATGTATCCAATACTTCCTCCAGTAAATAAAAACTCTGCTGTTATTACTTCATCAGTAAGTGAAAGAGTACAGAGGCACAGCAATAACAAACTGATTCAAGTCAGCAGTACAAAAATAACTAAAGCACAATAAAAAGTTCGGTTGCCGGGACTCTAGGGTGAGAGCCGAGTATCCTAACCAGCTAGACTACAACGGAGCTGTTGGAACGTGTAAAACAGAAACTTATTTGTTTCATGCACAAAATTCTGAAAGCATATACTACTAAATAACGGCAAAACTAACATAAATAATTCTCCGATCTAAATCCAAGTTTGTAGACAGAGTTTTTTTTTCTGATATTCTTGTGCAGTTGTACGTGCAGGGTGCCAGGGTAGGATATGAATTAGTGAAATCTGACGAACATAGATTATCCGAAGATTACAGTAGGATAACCCGACTACTTCAAGGAGTCCAAGTGCTCAACACTTTTCAAATCCAGCCAATCTAGCTCGTACAAGCAATCTTAAAACCAGCAAGCCAAGCACCTGCATGGCGTGGATTGGTAGAGCTTGATCAGCAGACGGGCGACGCCAGTCCTGCACCTGCGTGACGCTTCACGCTGTCAACAGCACAACGATCAAGTTTAAACCAGACGAATGTTATAGTTACGTGTGTTAGTTGATCTCCACCAATAGGTCCGACGGGCCCTTGGATTTGCGTTCTGATCAGGGGCGCCCAACCCTAATATGGTTGATGGGCCCCTGTCGCACATCACTATAAAAGATAGGTGGAGATCACGGCTCTAACTACGAGGTTGACCGGAGCCGCCGTGACCCACGAATAGAAAACCTAATCTGATCTAAAGTGAGTGCTGCCAGCGACGGGAAGCCGCCACCAACCTCACCGTCGCCTCTGCATCGCCACTGGACCTCGTCTCCACCACGCTGGACTCCACTGCGCCGAGCTCCCTCGACACCGGCGTCCACGAGGCTACGGCGCAACTACGTCAGGGCGAACTAGAGGAACCCTAAGTAAGATGCTTACCCCAATCTACGGTTTAGAGGCACTGTGGTTGCTAACAATGGTACCAGAGCCAAGGTTGCCAGTGTGTAGATCTAGTATGGGGTAAAGCATTGAAAAGAAATCAAAGAAAGAACAAGGGTTCGATCCGTTTCAGATTGAAACCCTAACCCTAACCAGGTAAAAGAAAATAGAAAAGAGACCGGGAGGGTGGCGGGCGTCACTGACTGCCGGTCATCACCGCCACCGAGCTGGGGGAAAGGTGCCGCACCGCCGTCTTCGCCGGCGCGCGGCAAGAAAAGAACATCGGTGTTCGGATCTGAGAAGAGAATAGAAAGGGGTCTCGGCACTCCGAGTCAAACCCTAACCCTAACCCCAAACCCAAATCGGTTCAACTCCGAAAAGAAAAGAAAGAAGGTCCAAAAGAGAAGAAAGGGAAGAGGGGAAGGGGCTTATCTCAAAGATCTTGAATCAAAACCGAGAGAAAAACCGAATCGGGTTCAACCGAACCCTAACCCTAACTCGTGATGAGGAAGGGGAAGAGAGCGATTCGGTACAAATAGAAAAGAAAAGAAATCAAATAAAAAAGATGAACCGAATCGATCGAAACGAATCGGGTTAATCCTAACCCTAACGATTCCCTTACCCTAACCCTAACTGGGTGAAGGAAAGAACAAAAGAAGAGGGATTCGACCTAGAAGAGAATCAAAGCCGAACCCTAAAACCCGTAAAGACTCCACGGGGATGATACACAGTGAAACTCTAACCCAAGATTGTAACCCTAGAACGAATCCCCATCCCAATCGGACTCAACCGAGAAGAAGAACCAGATCCAAAGAAGAAAAGGGGAAGAGGAAGAGCCAGTGGGCTGCCTCGCCGGCGCGCGGGGAGAAGAAGGCCGAGCCGGGGGCAGCTGCTCGCTGGGCCCCGGCCAAGGAGGCGCCACAGCCAGGCCGCTCGACGGCGGCGCGTTCACCCGCTGGGGAGCGCACACGCTGGCGAGGGGGCCGGCGACGGCGTCGAGGCCCTGCTCGCTCTCGTCGTTGCCTGCTCTTCGCTCGGGCTCGCGCGGCTGAGTGAGAGAGAGAACGGGAGGGAAGGAATGGCACTAGGGTTTCGCCCGCGCCGGCCGAAGGGGGTTTTGTTTACCCGATAATGCCGCTCGGCCATCAGATCGGCGCGGACGGCTCAGATCGAGCGGGCCGTTTCACGGCCCAGGTGGGCGCGCGCGGCCATGGCACTTTGCCGCCCCAGGCCCACTTTGCGGCCTGGGTGGGGCCGGGTGCCGCGCAGAGGTGGTGGGCCGAGCCGAATTGCTGGCTTCGGGCCCAGTAGCAGTAAACAGGGAGCCCAATTTTCCTTTTTTCTTTTTTAGTAAAATTGAAAAATAGAAAATGGCTCAAAAGATATCAGAAAAACAAATTTTTCCAATGGGTAAAATTCAAGAAATTGAGTATACGTTTTCCGCTGCTAAAGAAATTGTTTATTGTCCAGTTATTTTGAACCAACGTGATATTTAATTGGAGAAAAAGAGATTTTGACATGATTATGATGTTGTTATTTTCTGACCAACGTTGTGAATAACAATATCGTAATTTTAATGATTTTATGCATTATTTCTATTTCTGACCAACGGTGATGTAGAATTAGTGTGTAAGAACAGTTGAATAATTGGAGAAAAAGAGATTTATACATGATTATGATGTTGTTGTTTTCTGACCAACGTTGTTAATAACAATATCGTAATTTTAATGATTTTATGCATTAATTCTATTTCTGCCAAACGGTGATGTAGAATTAGTGTATAAGAACAGTTATATGTTTTAATTTAGACCAATGTTGGAATTAAGACATGCAATTGTTGTTATTTTTTTTATGTTAGAAAAAGATTGACCTGGCCTTCATCTTGACTAAGGTGGACTGGGTAGTCACCTCACCGTATTCCACTAAACCTGTGGCACCGGTGAGGGAGACAAACGAGACTGATGCCGCTTGGGCAACTAAAGAGAGAGATTTTGAATCCCAAAAGATGTCATATGACCTTGAGCATAGGAAGTGGGTCACTGCCAACAAGAAATATTTGGCTGTGATAAAGAACACGATTAAGCCTACAATTGTGGGGCTCAATCCCAGAGTGTGACACGATCACCGAGTACCTCGATAGAATAAAGAGTCAGTTCACTGGCTCTTCAAAGACCTATACTACCCAGCTGATAAAGCAGCTGGTGACAGAGAGTTACTCTGAAAATAGTGGCATAAGAGAGCACATACTATTTGTTATCACTATGTGATGATGTGAATGTTGTATGTGATGATGAAAACGTTGCGTGCGACAATGAGAATGTATCCTCGTCTGCGGATGTAAATAGAAAACGAAAGAGAGCTCACGATGCGTCGTTGAAATTATGGCACTGTCGTTTAGGCCATATTTCGAGAGGGAGAATAGAAAGACTAGTTAAGAATAATATTCTTCCTCCATTAGAGCTCTCAGATTTAGAACAATGCAGAGAATGCATAAAAGGAAAGTATGTAAAGAAAATTAAGAAAGATGCCAAACGAAGAGCATGAATTTTACAGATTATTCACACAGACATCTGTGATCCGTTTCCTGTAAAGAGTGTGGATGGTTATGATTTATTCATAACATTTACAGATGATTACTCCCGTTATGGCTACATTTATCCAATCAAAGAAAGAACAGAAGCATTGGATAAATTTAAAATATTTAAGACAGAAGTTAAAAACCAACACAATTTAAAGATTAAGATAGTCAGGTCCGACCATGGGGGAGAGTACTACGGTTGGCATACCCCATATGACCAAGTTCCTGGACCTTTTGCAAGGTTCTTACAGGAGAATGGCATAGTAGCCCAGTATTCTACACCGGGTGAACATCAGCAGAATGAAGTAGCTAAAAGACGCAATCGTACCCTGATGGATATGGTGCGTAGTATGATAAGTTACTCCACCTTACCGTTGAGCCTGTGGATGGAGGCGTTAATATCGCCATTTATATTCTCAATAGAGTACCAAGTGAGTCGGTGCCCAAAACACCGTATGAGTTGTGGACAGGAAGAGTACCCTCACTAAACCACTTATGTGTGTGGGGGAGTCCTACTGAGGCTAAAGTATTTAACCCAAACATTAGGAAGCTAGATCCCAAAACAGTAAGTTACCATTTCATTGGCTACCCAGAAAAGTCAAAAGGTTTTTGTTTCTACTGTCCAGACAGACATACAAAGTTTATGTAAACGAGACACGTTGTCTTCCTAGAGGATGAAATGATGAGGGGGAGCATGGTAGCTCAAGAAATTGACCTTAAAGAGAAGCGGATGTATGCGCCCACTCCGATGATTCATGAGCCATTTTTCTCACTACTTGCTGTCGCTGCACTGACAATGCAAGATACTGTGGTGCCAGCACCTGTTGTTATTCCGCCTGTGGCAACAATGAATGACGATGAGGAACCTGTTCTTCAGGATCCTGTAGAACCTATTGCCACACATGAGGGGGAGCAACAACAGCCTCAAATAGAAGATGTGCCAAATGTGGAGGCCCATAGAAGGTCTCAAAGAGTTAGAAAATCAGCTATTTCTACTGACTATGATGTATACAACACTGAGGAATTTCAAATGGAGGATGATCCCACCTCATTTGAAGAAGGCATGAGAACTGATTATTCATCAAAGTGGTTTGAGGCCATGGAAGATGAAATGAAATCTATGAATGCCAATAAAGTTTGGGACTTGGAAATAATTCCTAAAGGAGCCAAAATAGTAGGCTGTAAATGGGTCTACAAAACAAAACTTGACTCTCAAGGAAATATAGAGAGATATAAAACGCGACTTGTGGCAAAAGGCTTTACGCAAAGAGAAGGGATTGATTACAATGAGATCTTTTCTCCAGTCTCATGTAAGAATTCCTTCAGAATCATAATATCATTAGTGGCACATTACAATTTAGAATTACATCAGATGGATGTAAAGACGGTATTTCTGAACGGGGACTTGAAGGGAAATGTTTACATAGCACAACCAAATAGGTTTTGTCACGAAAGGAAAAGAACGAATGGGATGCCGCCTAAAGAAATCCATTTATGGATTAAAACAAGCTTGAAGACAGTGGTACTTGAAGTTTGATTAGATAAAAATGAATTTTGGATTTAAAGAGAATGTTGAGGATAATTGTGTCTATGCAAAGTTTAAGAATGAGAAGTTTATCTTCCTTGTCCTATATGTGGATGATATCTTACTTGCTAGTAGTGATGTTAGTCTACTGCTGGAGACAAAGAAGTTTTTGTCCTTAAAATTTGATATGAAAGGTCTTGGTGAGGCTTCGTTCGTTCTAGGAATCGAGATTCACCGAGATAGAAGTAAAGGGGTATTAGGACTGTCACAAAAGGCATACATAGAAAAGATCTTAAAGAAATTCAGTATACACAAATATAGTCCCTCACTTGCTCCTATAGTCAAGGGCGACAGATATGGGGATTTTCAATGCCCTAGGAACCAATATAAGATCGATCAAATGAAAGCGGTTCCATATGCTTCAGCTGTCGGAAGCTTGCAATATGCTCAAGTATGTGTGCACCCTGACTTGGCATTTGTTACCGGGTTACTTGGCAGATTCCAGAGTAATCCTAGAACAGAACACTGAAAATTAGTAAAGAAAGTTTTGTGTTATTTGCAAGGAACGAAAAGCCTCATGATGACGTATAGAAGATCTGATTCACTCCATATAGTGGGATATTCATATTCTGATTATGCGGGAGATGATAGAAAATCCACGTCTGGATATATATTCACTCTCGCAGGGGGAGCTATTTCATGGAAAAGCTCAAAGCAAACCGTCACTACATCGTCCACAATGTATGCCGAGTTTGTAGCGTGTTATGAGGCAACGGGGCACGTGAACTGGCTAAAGAAGTTCATACCCGATTTAAAGATGGTTGACGACATCTATAGACCACTTAAGTTATACTGCGATAATAATCCGACAGTTCAGTATGCTCACAACAATAAGTCAAGTGGTGCTGCCAAATACATTGACATAAAGTATTATATTGTGAAAGATAAAGTCCAGGATCATGTCATAAGTTTTGAGCATATAAATACCGAAAAGATGCTCGCGGATCCGCTTAAAAAAGGCTTACCACCCAACGTGTTCAGTGAACATGTAGCTAGCATGGGTTTAAGAAAAAGCCTAAAATTTCTAGACAAAAGAAGGCCCAAAGTTAAGTATCTATTTCAGAACAGAGTGGTGTGTTGTAGCTGTTAAATCTATCAGTAATTGACTGCAACGATGAAATATGCTCTATGCGCTAATCTGTAATGGAATGAACAAAAGTAAATGATATGAAATTAAAAGATGGTAGTGAAATCAAGGGGGAGAATGTTAGTTGATCTCCACCAATAGACCGAATGGCCTATTAGGCCCTTGGATTTGCGCTCTGATCGGGGGCACCCAACCCTAATATGGTTGATGGGCCCCTGTCGCACAACACTATAAAAGTTAGGTGGGGATCACAGCTCTAACTACGAGGTTGACCGGAGCTGCCATGACCCACGAACAGAAAACCTAATCCGATCTAAAGTTAGTGCTGCCAGCGACGGGAAGCTGCCACCAACCTCACCGTCGCCTCTGCATCGCCACTGAACCTCGTCTCCACCACGCTGGACTCTACCGCGCCGAGCTCCCTTGACATCGGCGTCCACGAGGCTGCGGCGCAACTACGCCAGGGCGAACTAGAGGAACCCTAAGTAAGATGCTTACCCCAATCTATGGTTTAGAGGCACTGTGGTTGCTAACAATGTGGGCTAAATTTTCTACAATCTCACATCAACCCACCTGAACCATTACGGAATACGGACCAAATTCAAACCGGACAGGATTTCAATTTCATCCAACCTACAAATAATCCATCGGCGTCCCCAGCTCTATATTCTGACTCCTGATCCATCCCAACCGCATAATATATGCATGGTGCAAGGTACCTCAACACAAGGACCCAAACGTGGCCAAGTATCTCTAATCACGACAAGTCAGCATATGTGGATTCTGTTGGAGAAGTGAAGACAACCTGTTCATCTGGTGCATCCAACAAGCTCAAACTCGTAGATGGGCGTGGGCCTGGGCCAGCCAGACTTGCAGCTTGGGCCTCTAAAAAACAGGGCCTAGATAATTCTGAATGTTTGCGTTCTTAGATTTTCACATAAACTTTGTGGCAATGGTTGGTTTTCAGTCATTTTATTCTTTGCTCTTCATTCCCTCCTTCACATTATCCCAACAAAATGGCATCCAAACAGCCCAAAATACATGCCATATACTCCGCATGTAATACTGTCGTATGCATCGGTTAGACGCATAAAATACTGAAATGCTACGGTGAGGACGTCCGATCCTCCGATCCGGACACTCCCGTTTGTAGGCCGCAACACCAGCCCAATAGCTCAATAGTCATAATCTCTCATCCACAAGTCCTTAACCGTAGCTTGCTATGTCCATTCTCTAGAAAAAAAATCACCGCAGCTCGAACAGACGCGCTCCACTGCGACCGTGCTCCGCTGCGCCGTCCTAGTGTTCTCCACGGTGACTGGAGGCCCGATGGCTAGCATCTCCACCGTGCCAGAGCGCGGCCAGCCGCCTTGATCCCTCTCCATCGTGCCTCTCGGTTGTCTGCCTTCCACTCTCTCCACCATGCCTCCGGCCTGCCGTGGCCTTCTCCAGCTCACCGACCGCCTTCTCCACCAGAGCAGTGATAGCTCGTGCTGGACCCGCCACAACCTTCTCCCCTAGAGCGGCGACAGTTCGTGCCAGCACAAGATCTCAGGAGCGCCACCATCAAGCGCTGCGCCGATCCACCTTGCCCGTCGCGAAAGGAGAAGCAGGGGAGGCCTGCGCATGCGCTTGTACCCCCATCCACCTCACGTCGTCGGCAGGAAGGGGAGGCCTACGCCACCACAGTTCCCCATCAGGTAGGTCATGGCTGTGCGACAATGCTGTGTTTCAAGTGTTTCTAGACATTTTCAGACATGTTGCAAGCTTATGTTTCAAGTGATTCAGTTGTTTTAGATATATGTTTTAATTGTTTCATACGAATGTTGCAAGTAGATCGGGATGTTGCATATGTTCCAATGGTTGTAACATATATATGTTGCAAGTGTCTATCCCCAATGTTTCATCTATTTTTACACGTATGTTGCAAGTGTTTCATCTATCTTCTTTTATATGTTGCAAATGTTGCATCTGGATGTTTTAAAAGTAGATTGTGATGTTGCATATTTTTGCACTGGTGTTTCAACTGTATGTCCCAAATATTTCTTCTATTTTTATACATACTCCTATGTTCCAAAGGTTTCATCTGGATGTTGCGAAAGTAAATCTGGTGTTTGAATGTTGTAGTGAGACCAACTTGCCACAACCACCTGCTTGACGCTGTTGGGTCCGCGTGCATACGTGTGGGAGCGTAGGGTATAGATTTCCATTTGGCATGGGCACTATGGGCCGACACAGGCACGACACTAAGAAGCACGGCCCAGGCACGGCCCGGCCTGGCTGTCGTCGTGCCCGTGCCAGGCACGGCCCGGTTGTAGTGCCGTGCCTAGGCCGCCATGTTGGCCTGTAGTGCCGGCTCAGGCATGGCACGATCTGTCCTGTTTATTCTCCACCGTTAGATATGACCTGATGAACCAGAGCTGTTGGATACTGGTATATAAGCATCTCTCACACACCAAACCCTATTTCCTTCTCTTAGTCTCTCTCTCCTCCTCTCATTTCCTTAGATGCGCCGATGCCCTGAGGGCTTCAGGCCGGCACGGTGGCTCCCTTCCCCTATGCCCCGAGGGCCTCAGGCTAGCTCCCTCCCCCATGCCCTGAGGGCCTCAGGTCGGTGGCATGCCGGTGCATCTACAACAGCAGCGGACACGTCAGCCGGTGGTGGCGTATCTGCGCGCGACACGCGGCTAGCGGCGGTAAAGCAGCGCGCGGCTAGCGGCAGCGGTGGCGGAGCAGTGCGTTGCCAGTGGCGGTGGTGGCGCATCTTCTTCCTCGGCCACTCCACCTCCTTCGGCGGCGTGATAGCCTCTGTGTCAACGAGCTGGAGAGCGGCTTCGACGTGCGGCGCGACGGCCAGGGGCGGCACGGGCTGGAGAGCGGGCTGCCGTGCCCAGTGGCACGGCACGGCACGGCTAATAGCCTATAGTGCCGTGTCTGGGTCGGGATGCCGGCACGGTGGCACTACGTGGCACGGCACGACAGCCGCCATGCCCCAGCATGCCGTGCCCCGTCGTGCCGTACCGCGTCGTGCTAGTGTCATGCCGTGCCTGAGCGGCCCGTTTAGCCATGTATAGTGGAGGGGCACAGTCGCAGATCGAGTTGGTCTGGTTGGCTAGCTCCTCGTTGGACATGTCCTCGATGCTGTGGTAGGGCTATAGCTTCGTAACATCGATGACCGTCTTGGGCAACTTGGAAAATAGGACAGTTGCCATTTATGGAACTTGAATGTTGCATCTTGCACGCTACACAGTACAAAAACTTGTTTATGATTCTGAATTTCAAAATCATATTGCATAAACAAACGATCTAAATCTTATTCAGACCCGCACATATAGATGCAGACATTTGCTCTATCTTACTGCGACGACCCACTTGGCTGTTCACAGAGCTTGCCAACTATCCGTGGCCCGTACGTCAGTACTCTCGCCGGTCACTTCTTCGGCATCGATGGAGCATAGGATTCTTTCATCAACAGCTCTTGTCACGAGGTTCTCGCCATCCATGCCGTTCGTGTTGTCATCAAGTAGTGTAGATGCACCTTCACCGGTAGAAGAAGGACCAGCCGCCGCCACCACCAGCGGTGGAAGGTGGGCGTCGACGGCGTGGGCGTGCCTCTCCGCGACGGCCTTGATGCTGGCAACTTTGAGCAGGACGCGCACCCACGTGGGGATGTCGGGGCGCGGCGCGCCGGGGTAGTTGAACCTGCGCCTCCTGGGTAGGTGCACATCGTAGAAGCAGAAGACGGCGGCGTCGTAGGCGAGCGCCGGCTGCCTGTCGGTCTCGAAGGTGCCGATCCATAGCTTCTGGCGAGTGTCCGGTGTTAGTTGATCTCCACCAATAGGCCCAACGGCCTATTGGGCCCTTATCTCTGCTCCCTAATCGGGGGAGCCCAACCCTAATCTGGTTGGTGGGCCCCTGTCGCACAGCACACATAAAAGGAAGGTGGGGGTGAGGGCTCGGACTATGAGGTTCACCGTGAGCCGCCACTCCCACCTACAACAACCTTTAACCGATCTAAAGACCGTGCTGCCAGCGACGGGATGTGCCCCACCGACCACCGCCGTCGCCTCTACAGGGTCTCCACTGTTCCACTGCAGCACCACCGGACCGCCGTCTCACCAACGAGCCGGAGCTGCCCCCTACTCCGGCGTCTACGTTGCTGCTGTGCCGCAATAGTGAAAGGCGAGAAGGGTCTTCCTTGGATCTACGGGTTACGGTCACAGAGAGGTACACACAATCGATCATAACAATGGTATCAAAGCCGGTTGCCTTTGTGTAATCCTAACCCTAACCGGGTAAAAGCAAAGAAAATAGACCGGGGGTGGCGAATGTCACTGGAACCCGATCACCACCGCCACCGCGCGGGGGAAGTAGAGCACCACTGTCCTCACCGGCGCGCAACAAGAAAAGAATAGATCCTTGTTCGGATCAGAGAATAGAAAGGGGAAAAGGATCTTAAGAATCCCAACCCTAACCCTAATCGGGTGAAACAACAGTGAACAGAAAGGGGAAAGGATCTCAAGAACCTAACCCTAACCCACGCAAATAGCTCGGGGAAGAAGAAAATAAAAGGTTTCGGCCTTAAGATGAACAGAGTCGAACCCTAAATCAAAGAAAAGAAAAAGAAATCAATTGAAAAGCGAAACACTAACCCTAGAACAAATCCCCATCACTATTCGGTTCAATCCGAGAAGAAAGAAAGGAAAACAGAAAAGAAAGAAGAAGAAGAGGGGTCGGCACACGAACCCTAACCCTAGATCCATTCGGATGAACTCCGAAAAGAAAAGAAAGATCACAAAAACATATCAAAAAAAAGGAGAAAGGGAAAGGGGAACGGAAAAACCTTGCCGGGCGTCGGGAAAACCCTTCGCTGGCACGGGAGAAGAAGACCGAGCCGGGCTCGCTGCTCGCCGGGCTCGGCCAAAGGGGTCACCGCAGCTAGGCCGCTCGACGGCGGCGCGCTCACCCGCTGGGGAGCGCGCACACCGGCGAGGGGGCCGGCGGCGGTGCCATGGTCGTCGTCTCGCTCTCGGTTGCTCTCGGTTGTAAGCTGCGCTGAGAAGAGATGAGGTAGAGAGAGGAGAGAGCGACGAAGAAGAGAGAGAGAAGCAGACGGAAAGAATGAAACTAGGGTTCAGGAGGACGTGGCCGTCGGTGGGTTTTTATTCATCCGAAATGAACGCTCGGCCGTCCGATCAGATCCGATCAGATCCAACGGCGCCAGATGCACGGGCCGACTCGCAGCCCAGGCGGGCGCGCGTGGTAGCGCGACTTTGTCGGCCCAGGCCCAGGTTGCGGCCTGGGTGCGGCCTGCGCGCGCGTGGAAAGCTGGGCCGAGCCGGCGAGCCAGTTTTGGGCCGGCCTGAGAGTAAGGCTGGGCCGAACTGTTGCTGGGGTTTTGAGCCCAAAACGAAGGAGTCTTTTTCATTTTTATTTCCCAGAAAAGTTTTTACTTCCTAGAAAATTGAAAATGCAAATTGGCTCAAAAGAAAAAAATAGAAAAAGGTATTTTACTTGTGGGTAAAATTCAAGAAATTGAGTATACGTTTTCCGCTGCTAAAGAAAAGTACATTCTCCAGTGATTTTGAACAGACGTGATATTTAACTGGAGAAAAGGAAAGTTTTTCTAGTAAATGTTTATTTTCTAGAAAATTGATTAATAGATTAAAGGAAATAGAAAAAGCAATTTTCCCCATGGGTAAAATTCAAGGAAAAGAGAGTTTTTCCACAGCCAAAGAAATTGTTTATTCTCTAGTTAATTTGTACCAACGTGATATTTAATTGGAGAAAAAGAAAGTTATTCTGCTGCTAAAGAAATTATTGTTTCTCCAGTTATTTTTAACCAATGTGGTATTTAATTGGAGAAAAAGAGATTTGACATGATTATGATGTTGTTATTTTCTGACCAACGTTGTTAATAACAATATCATAATTTTAATAATTTATGCATTAATTCTATTTCTGCCCAACGGTGATATAGAGTTAGTGTATAAGAACAGATGTTAATTTTAATTATTTATGCATTAATTCTACTTCTGTCCAACGGTGATGTAGCATTAGTGTGTAAGAACAGTTGTGAAAGTTAAAGATTTGTGCATTAATTCTATTTCTGCCCAACGGTGATGTAGAATTAGTGTATAAGAATAGTTGTATGTTTTAATTTTGACCAACGTTGGAATCAAGGCATGCAAATGGTGTTAATTTTATGTTAAGAAAAGATTTGACCTGGTTTTCATCTTGTTTAAGGTGAACTGGGTAGTCACCTCACCGTGTCCCACTGATTCTATGGCACCGGTGAGGGAGACAAAAGAGAATGATGCTGCTTGGGCAACTAAAGAAAGGGATTTTGAATCCCAAAAGATGTTTTATGACTTTTGAGCATAGGAAGTGGGTCACTGCCAACAAGAAATGTTTGGCTGTGATAAAGAACATGATTGAACCTGCAATTGTGGGCTCAATCCCAGAATATGACACGGTCACCGAGTACCCTGATAGAATAAAGAGTCAGTTCACTGGCTCTTCAAAGATATATGCCACTCAGCTGATGAAGCAGCTAGTGACAGATTGTTAATCTAGAAATGGTGGCATAAGAGAGCTCACGATGCGTTGTCGAAATTATGGCACTGTCATTTAGGCCATATTTCAAGGGGGAGAATAGAAAGACAAGTTAAGAATGATATTCTTCCTCCATTAGAGCTCTCAGATTAAGAACAATGCAGGAAATGCATAAAAGGAAAGTATGTAAAGAAGATTAAGAAAGATGACAAACGAAGCGCAGGAATTTTACAGATTATTCACACAGACATCTGTGGTCAACTTTCCTGTAAAGAGTGTGGATGGTTATGATCCGTTCATAACATTCACAGATGATTACTCCCATTATGGCTATATTTATCTAATCAAAGAAAGAAAAGATGTATTGGATAAATTTAAGATATTAAAGATTAAGATAGTCAGGTCTGACCGTGGAGGAGTACCACGGTCGGCATACCCTAAAAGAATGGCATAGTAGCCCAGTATTCTACACCGGGCGAACCTCAGCAGAATAGAGTAGCTAAAAGAATCAATCGCACCCTGATAGATATGGTGGGCAATATGATAAGTTACTCCACCTTACAGTTGAGCCTATGGATGGAGGCGTTAAAACCCCATTCATACTCTCAAAAGAGTACCAAGTAAGTCGGTGCCCAAAACACCGTATGAGTTATGGACAGAAAGAGTGCTCTCACTAAACCACCCGTGTGTGTGTGGGGGAGCCCTGCTGAGGCTAAAGTATTTAACCCAAACATTGAGAAGTTAGATCCTAAAATAGTAAGGTGTCATTTCTTTGGCTACCCAGAAAAGTCAAAAGGTTTCTGTTTTCTACTGTCTAGTGAGACATACAAAGTTTGTGGAAACGAGACACGCTGTCTTCCTAGAGGACGAAAAGATGAGGGGGAGCATGGTAGCTTGAGAAATTGTCCTTGAAGTGAAGCGGGTGTATGCGCCCACTCCAATGATTCATGAGCCATTTTTCTCACTACCTGCTGTAGCTGCACCGACAGTGCTAGATACTGTGGTGCCAGCACCTGTTGTTATCCCACCTATGGCAACAATGAATGACGATGAGGAACCTGTTCTTCAGGATTCTATAGAACCTATTGCCACACATGAGGGGGAGCAACAACAGCCTCAAATAGAAGATGTGCCAAATGTGAAGGCCCCTAGTAGGTCTCAAAGAGTTAGAAAATCAGTTATTTCTGCTGATTAAGTGTATAACACTAAGGAATTTCAAATGGAAGATGAAATGAAATCGATGAATGCCAATAAAGTTTGGGATTTGGAAATAATTCCTAAAGGAGTCAAAACAGTAGGCTGTAAATGGGTCTACAAGACTAAACATGACTCTCAAGGGAATATAGAGACATAAAGTGTGACTTGTGGCAAAAGGCTTTATGCAAAGAGAAGGGATTGATTACAATGAGATCTTTTCTCCAGTCTCATGTAAAGTTTTCTTCAGAATCATAATGGCATTAGTGGCACATTACGATTAAGAATTACATTATATGGATGTAAAGACGGCATTTCTCAACAGAGACTTGGAGAAAAATGTTTACATGGCACAACCGAAAGGTTTTGTTATAAAAGGAAAAGAACGAACGGGATGCCGTCTAAAGAAATCCATTCATGGATTAAAACAAGCTTCAAGACAGTGGTACTTGAAGTTTGATCAGACAATAAAGAATTTTGGGTTTTAAAAGAGAATGTAGAGGACAATTGTGTCTATGCAAAGTTTAAGAATGGGAAGTTTATCTTCCTTGTCCTGTATGTAGATGATATCTTACTTGCTAGTAGTGATGTCAGTCTACTACTGGAGACAAAGAAATTTGATATGAAAGATCTTGGCGAAGCCTCGTTCGTTCTAGGGATCGAGATTCACCAAGATAGAAGAAAAAGGGTATAAGGACTGTCATAAAAGGCATACATGGAAAAGATCTTAAAGAAATTTAGTATGCACAAATGTAGTCCCTCACCTGCTCCTATAGTCAAGGGCGACAGATATGGGGATTTTAAATGTCCCAGGAACCAATATGAGCTCAATCGATAAAGTGAAAGTGGTTTCATATGCTCCAGCTGTCGGAAGCTTGCAACATGCTCAAGTATATACGTGCCCTGACTTGGCATTTGTTACTGGGTTTTACTTGGCAGATTCCAGAACAATTCTGGAATAGAACACTGAAATTAGTAAAGAAAGTCTTGCATTATTTGCAAGGAACGAAAGGCCTCATGATGACATATATAAGATCTGATTCACTCTACATGGTGGGATATTCAGATTCTGATTATGCGAGAGTGAATGCATATCCAGACGTGGATTTTCTATCATCTCGCAAAGGGGAGCTATTTCATGGAAAAGCTCAAAGCAAACTGTCACTACATCGTCCACAATGTATGACAGTTTGTAGCGTGTTATGAGGCAACGGGCAGGTGAACTAACTAACGAAGTTTATACCTGGTTTGAAGGTGGTTGACGATATCTATAGACCACTAAAGTAATACTGTGATTATAATCTGGCAGTACAGGATGCTCACAACATAAGTCAAGTGGTGCTGCCAAACACATTGACATAGAGTATTATGTTGTGAAAGATAAAGTTCGAGATCAAGTCATAAGTCTTGAGCATATAAGAACAGAAAGGATGCTCGTGGATCCGCTTACAAAAGGTTTACCACCCAACATGTTCAGAGGACATGGTGTTCAGAGAACATGTAGCTAGCTTGGGTTTAAGGGAAAATCTAAAATATTCCTGGACAAAAGAAGGCCCAAAGATAAGTATATATTTCAGAACAGAGTAGTGAGTTGTAGCTGTTAAGTCTATCGGCAATGGACCGTGACGATGAGACATGCTCTATGAGCTAATCTGTAATGGAATGAACAAAAGTAAATGATATGAAAGTGAAAAATGGAATAAGATCAAGGAGGAGAATATTAGTTGATCTCCACCAATAGGCCCAACGGCCTATTGGGCCCTTATCTCTGCTCCCTGATCGGGGGAGCCCAACCCTAATCCGGTTGATGGGCCCCTGTCGCACAGCACACATAAAAGGAAGGTGGGGGTGAGGGCTCGGACTACGAGGTTCGTCGTGAGCCGCCACTCCCACCTACAGCAACCCTAAACCGATCTAAAGACCGTGCTGCCAGCGACGGGATGTGCCCCACCGACCACCGCTGTCGCCTCTGCAGGGCCTCCACCGTTCCACTGCAGCACCACCGGACCGCCGTCTCGCCACCGAGCCGGAGCTGCCCCCTACACCGGCGTCTACGCTGCTGCTGTGCCGCAACAGTGAAAGGCGAGAAGGGTTTTCCCCGGATCTACGGGTTACGGTCACAGAGAGATACACACAATCGATCCTAACACCCGGCACACGGACCTCCGCCACCCACCGGCCCCGGCCACTGCCGTAACCTCACGCCAGTGTACTTCGACGGCTTCTGCGGCCTCCCAGCCGGCACCGGTGCCGGCGCCCCCCTCCGCGCCGGCCGGCTGCTGCTCGTCGTCATAGCACGTCACCTCTGCAGGCTGCAAGAAACACACAAGGCAAGAGCACGGTCGGTGCATTTGTGACTTGTGAGGACGGGCTTTATAGGCGCCATGAGGATGACACGCGGCTCACTGACGACGAGTGTATGTACGTGAGTCGTGAGGGTGAAGAGAGACCGGCCGAGTGTATCACTGACGCCGGCCTTTGCCACCGAATAAAAACAGTAGTCAGATCAGCCGCCGCTGATGAGTTCTTTACATCTTGGATATATATCTCTAATAAACTGCGGGTAGCAGAGTCTGGAACTTTATTTTCTTTATTAAAAACTAGGTAGCGTACCTGTGCGTTGCTACATGATAGCTAATAATTTGTATTAAAAACACACGGATCGCACGATAAGATAACAATATTGTAAAAATTAAATATCAACATTAAAGTGACAGTTAATCCCAAAAGCAAAGTTTGTGAAATTAACAGTCACGGAGAGCGCGGTGTCACAGGCTTACAAACTCTACTTTATAGACCTTTCCGTGATGCGCCTAAGATAATGTTTTATATCGGCAGTAAGAAATCTCCTATATCCATTTCTTTCGTGTGCCAATAAATCAACGAATAAGTTCCGCCACATCTCTATATCATCCTGTACACATGCTCGAGTATATATGCTATCACATGGGGTAATACTGCGTGTCTTAAAAAATCTCTCAACCTTAAAACAAAGTATGTTATACTCACCGCATAAACCTTTTTCAACAATTACATTGCAACTCCACTAATTACAATACAACAACACATATGACGAGAAATATACATTGTATGACCTCTAAAATTCTTTTTGATAAAACTGACCAGAAGTTCCTTGAAAGACTAAAATGATGGCCGACACCCTATGCCGCTGTAGCCTGTGAAGGGCCACCTCGGCCGAGCCCCGGGCGATCTGTTGCGCAACAGCTTCCCCGCCCCTCGCCCAAACCGCCTCCGATGCCGGCAGCTCCAGGTGGCCGCCCATGTGCCGCCTCACTCGGGCCGCCCCACGTCTGCACTCACAAACAAACGCAAACCCACACACCTACTCAGCAAATATTTAGATTTAATAAATTTACCCCTTCAGATGGCAGGAAAAATCTCAGCACCAGCCACTTAGTTCTTACTGTTGTAAATGATGAGGCATATCAATAACACCTAGAGATCCTAAATGTGTGGTTCTTTGACAGATACGGAGTATGTAGTTTGTCTCACAAGCAAAGATATGAGTACGGATTCTGAGTAAAATGACTCTAGATTGCAAAAGAACAGGTTAAACTCAAGTAGCTGGCGTAGTAATGACATAAATGTTGGTAAAACTGATGCTTGGATAGATAAATGACCATAGAGTGCAAGCAGTATATACTAATTTCAATGCTGCTGTTGGCCCTATAATAGGTATGCTGGATTTTGAAAGAAAAAAAAACTGAAAAGAGACTTCTGAATGAAACATGAACTATACCAGACAGCCCATTACTGTAGTATGGACAGTATAACATTGCCCATGTATTAAATCAAATATTTAGCTATACCAGTGGGGATTTGTCACATTGCACATTTCATTCATACACAGAATTGAAATTGTGTAGCACACCCAAGCACAAAAAAAAGATGTAAGATTTCTCTATTTCTCAAAATATCTAGCATGGAAAGAAATGTTATCCATCTAGAAAAAACATGCGAAGATAATAACCTCATCGGTCAACGCCTGATCAAATACAGGATATTAGTGAGGGTATACATGACAAAACAGTCAGGAGAAGAAATATATTGTAGAAAGTACAGTACATTTACTAAAGAACAGCTTCCAAGAAACATGAATGTTTATTCAGGAAGAACATGCCAACAAAATATTAAAAAAACCAGCTAACCTGGATCTCTTTTGGGAACGTTGCACTAAACATCATTGTCCGCTTGACACCTGGAAGTGGCATGTCCATTTGCTCAACAGTTCTTCTAACTGTGGTTCAAAACCCATATCAAGCATTCTATCTGCCTTAACAAGGGCAAGGTAACAAATTGCCTGCAAAGATATTCTTGTCGTTTCCATCAAATCAGCTAATCGGTCGGGGGTAGCCACAAGAATGCCAACACCCCTCTCGAGATCTCTTAACTATAAATTAGAATATATATTTAGAAAATGATACGAATTTAAGAAAATAAGTAATGGTCCAAGGTTTAGGCATTCAGTTCTTTGAAAGAAAAGGTTCAGGCATTTGATTCTTTGAAAGAAAAGGTTCAGCCATTCAAAACAGATGTGTGGAAAAATATATTATTCTAATATTATGATTCCCTTCATCCACAGTGTCCCCGCCTCTTCCTCGCGTTTCTCCTCACCTTAGCACCGCCCCCTGGCCCGATCTTGCTCCATCCCCTTCCGGCAGGCTCCTCTGCCACCTCGCAACTCACCGCATAAGAACAGAAGATGAGTCAATGTGATTACTACAACTGATGTCAATGATCAGTGAATGAGGAGCTTCCAATGATAACTATATATTCTTGCAAAATAATGTATCCAAACCTTGCTAGGAACTTAGTACTGCTTGATTAAAACTTGCTGTGCAACCTGGGTGAGTTAGGAAAAACCTGCAGACAAGGCAAAAGTCATGTGATCTGTAAACCGCAGTAGCACTCACATGTAGGGGAAATAAGATATTCTAGAAAATAATGTATCCAGACCTTGTTAGGAACTTAGTACTGCTTTGCTTGAAGCTTTTGTGCAACCTCGGTGAATTAGAAAAAAAAAATCTGTAGACAATGCAAAATCCTTGAGATCTGGAACCGAATAGCACCAAGTAGGCAAAAGTCTTAAAAATATATATATAAACTTTACACATTATTTAAATAATAATAAGTCCACGATTTAATTGGCAGTGATCGAAAGTGGCCACAGAGGCATTTGCTAAGTACTGTAGCATATAAAGTGCAGACCACACGAACAGGTAAAAAAAATTAGGAACACCACACGAACAGGTAAAAATTAGGAACACCATAAAGGTCCTTTGTTGCGTTGTTGTACCGATCTACAGTCATACATATGTCAAAACTGAACATTCAGAATGAAAAGGAGATATACATAAAAAAAAAAACTGCAAACACATGATGTATCTAAATCCATTCATGGATCAAAGATCTGCATCCTCATGGGAAAAAGTATGGAAAGGAAGAGGGAGATACCTCAGTCAGGTGCAGGACAGAGGGGACTTGAGTACGGAGGGCACCCCTGCTGCAGGCCAAGATGAGATGCGTGTAGATTGTAGATTGGAGGACTGCTAGAATGGAGGCAACGTGAGGATTGGCGAGCAGGAAGGCAGCGACAGCAAAAAAAAAAAAAAAAACACTTTGGATTTGGCTGATGCAACCTACATCCTTCACCGTGGCCAATATCGGAGGAGGGAAACTGGGAGATCACGTACCAATGGTGGCCGAGCCAAGTGGAGTTGGCACACGCGCCATCAAGCTTGTACTCCGTGGATCTGTAGCGATGGGGATCGAAAGGGAGATGAAGCAGAGCTGGCCCTAGGGTTCCGGCCGAGGTCCAAGGCTTCGCTGGTGGCAGGGGCAGAAGGGCAGGGCGGGCATGGGTGGCGGCGTTGGCGCAGAGCGGGTGCGGGCGGCGCCAGCGGCACGACGAGCTGCGGCGAACGAGGGGGGCGGGGGAGATCGGGTGGCTTTCTAATAGGCCTCCAGGCATGGCTCGCGGCGAGTGGTATTTGCAGGGAAGGGAGCGAGCGCCGGGGGACCGTGCGATGTGGGATCGCACACAGGCAGGACGACGATGGACGTACATTGAAATGCCGCATCAAAAAAATATACGTTTTTGTTCTTTTTAGTTGTATAGGAGAAATCTCTAAGAAAGACTCTGCACTGTCTATACGGATGCATACGTGTGTAGGTCGACATGGAGGATGTGGTTTTTTTACAAGAGATATTGTTTTTTTTATAAGTAGATATTGTTGCATGCATGCATGCGTGCACCGCTGATAGAGAAGAGATTAGGTGGGCATAGAAGTCCAAAGCAATCTCTCTACTAATAAATAACTCTTTAATTAGAGGCAACTCGCTTTTTGTGTAAAAGCAAATTCATCAAAACCCGACTCTACAAATGATTTCTACCAACCCAAATCAACTTTTAGAGGTTGCTACAAAGCCTAGTTAGCTCTAAAAATGCCCTCTATTTTTAGAAATGGTTGGAATGGTGATCCACTCTAAAAATGACATTTCTAGAGGAAGCTAGTCTTTCTAGCCATCTCTAGAAATAATGGAGGAATTTCTAGAGGCAGTTAGAAATCTTATCGTGTCTAGAAATAGATTACAATAGACAGGGTAGTTGGTAATTTGGTTCGCCTATAAAAATAGGTACAACACAGTAAAAATCATGAGACATGACTTTTTCAAATTAAGTTAGGTGAGTATAAACTATATAAAATCTGTAGTACTCCAAGAAAATCTACAGTTTTGTAGTTGGTGGCGTTTTCAATTGAAACCATTTAAGGCATGGAAATTCTATTTTATGTTTTCATAATTTGAATACTACCATGATTGATAGAAGGTTCACTATCAACAAATGTGTGAGATCATATTTGCATGAGATGAACAATAGACCAAAAGATATATAATCATGTTGCCTACTTAGTTGCTTACCATAGTTGATCAGCCTCTCAAGTGTGGTGTCATTAAATTCTTTTTTCACATGGAAACTACTATAGAAACTATGCGTTGGAAGTGAGAGTTTTCACTGGTTATTTATTGCTCTCTCCTCTAGAAACTATCCATGGAAACTATGGGATGGGACTGCCCTTATATCTGTATATGCAAAGAGAGGGAGAGGTAACTAACTCTCAGATGGCTTGTACTAATAACAATTGTGGATGCTCTAGGATTGCATGTACAAACATGAAAGTGTGTGTGTGTGTGTGTGAGAGAGAGAGAGAGAGAGAGAGAGAGCATATCTCTCTACATGCAAATTAAAGAGGGGAAAGGTGACTAGGGGCGTGCCTAATCACCTCGCCAGGCTAGCATGGAGCATGAAAACCTTGCTTGGCTAGGAGAGCCAATTTGGCTCTCTCAGGCAAGCAAGGCAAAACTAGCCTGCACAAGCCCTGAGGAGGTTAGGCAACATATCCAAACAAGCAAGCTTGCCCCATATCCTCGCTCATCAAGCAAGACGACACAATCCCTGGTGAAGAAACCAAGCAACCCTTAGATCGATCTCAGATGGCTTGTGCTAACAATTGTGGATGCCTTTAGAATTGCATACGCACACAAAGAAGTGTCTATTTTACACATAACATCTTACACATTGATACAAAGTACAAAAACTTGTGATATATTGCATACATATATAATAGTCTAAATCTTATTGATACCCATATAGAAGCAGACCCCTAGATATGGCTTCGATATATTTATAGTTCGCACAGCTCTTGCCAGGATCAATGGTTAGTACTCAGTATATATATAGAGGTCATGATGGGACCCAAGCATCTGGACGGACGCCAAGTTCGGACACCCTGCTCGGTGCCGCACCCACGCGACACCACGCCGCCACCGGAGACGAAGACGACGACGGTTAGGGTTCCGTGACTGCGGCGACGATCTCCCTCTCCGGTCTCTCCCCCTCTTCTTCTCCAACTCCGGCGGGCTTAGAAGGGGTTTTGGTGGGAGGGAGACAGGCTGTCCAGGCAGTGGGGATGGCGGGCGGGCGGCTTAGGGTCTTGGCGCGGTGGATGCGGCCGGGCCAGGTCGGGGTGGGGGCATAGCGGCGGTGCTTGCCGGCACTCATGGCCATGGCAGCGGCGGAAGGGGGAGGGGAAGAAGGAGGCCGCTGCAGGCGCGGTGTGCAGTGGGAGAGGAGGAAGACAACCATCGTGCGGGGAGGAAGAGGGGCGGAGGGGCAGTCGGGCGCGGAGAAGAAGAGGGCAGAGAGAAGAACATGTTTTCATCAAGAGTACTTGTAATGACATTATTCTTATAAAAATCCCCCACCTTAATTATATTTGAAAAGATGAGAATTTCCTCATGGTGAGCATTTGACTGTTAAGTTTACCTACTGAAAAAAACTGATGACATAGCATTATAGTAATAGCTAGTTGATACTACATTTTGTATATATACGTTTCATATGGCCATAAAATATTTTCATATCAGATTATATGTTATATGCACAGTGTGAAATTGACATGTGAAGAAGATGGATACTCCATCCATCCTGTGATATTGTACATCCCAAAAATTCTAAGACAACTTAAGGGAATACTCAAATGACGCATATACCCATGGATCGGATTTAAACCCAATAAAGGAGTTTCTCTTCAAATTATGGTTTTCTTTTTAACAAACTCCTTCAAATCTGAGCATGGGCACAACATAGAATGTCTTATATTTCAGTACAAATTTCAGATGTCATAAGACACTTTATTTATTTTCCGGGATGGAGGGAGCATGTGTGACAAATGTTCCATATCTTGTCTACTATTTGGAGTACTATCACTTTTAATTTTTAAGTATTTCAGACAAATTGTTGTTCTTTGACTATATATCACTATTGGCAACTGCATTTTCTATACACCAAGAACCGTCAAGGAAATAAGGAAAATCGTTAGGGAAATTAATTATATGTTGGGAACCTGATAGGCAAATCCCATCAAGGATAGGTCAACAGAGAAATGAAGTTTGCAAGTGAGTTTCCTAATAGAAAGTTTATTTGTAATAATGATAATTAAGGTGATAGGAAACTGTAGCACCATTAGGTTTACAAAAGCATCAGGAGCCATCATGTGAATTATTCTACAGCCTTACCATTTGGGATATTATTAATTTTTTCATATAGGTTTCTAGGAATTTCTCTATCAGTCAACCTTCAAAGAAATTGTAATACTTATACATTGGCTTTGCACAAAATCTCTGTTGGTTTCTCTTCAAGGAATTGTATTTTCTTTAATCAAATGTTCTTTTTATCATTTAAATCCATTCTATTTCAGGAAATAATAGCATTAAAAAAATCATGTAACATGTTGCTGAATTCCAAGATGCATAGATATACCAAACGTTATATGCATAACTCACATTTGTAGCATATGAATTGGAAGGTCTACCAAATTACAATGCATTCAACGTGGGTCGGTGTAGCAATATTTTTGTGTTGACAAAGTACAAGTCCATCTAAAATTCTCCTACCAAAAAAAAGTTGATGACATAGCATATGCAGCAATAGCTTTTTGACAAAAAAATTTTGTAGTCATTTATCTTTCCATGAAGTGTTTGCATATGAGAGTATATGTTACATGCACACAATGAAATTGATATGCGAAGAAGATAGATACGTGTGACAAAATTTTCAAATATTGTCTATTCTTTGGAATACTGACACTTTTACTATTTTTCATATATAGTTCGGTGACTATAGGTATATCCAACTTCGCCCACAATTGTTGTTAATTATTAGTTTTTTAGGAAAACTATGGCAATCAGATTGGTTGCCTAAACTTTTTTTATTGCAAAGGAGCAACATTTACGAAAACAAGGCAAAGCTTTGCAAGAGATAATTACATTAGGGGGAAAGGAGAGAAGCAGCAAAGCAAGGAAAAACAAATTGTCAAGCTAAACAACCTAACTTACATAGAAAAGGAATTACCCCACTCATTCAACCACTCTCCATCAGAAGTTCTATGGCACTATATGACAATAACAGCAGCTCATCACGTTAAAGACAATAAATTTAGGAAATTGCTTCATCATTGTGCCTGGAAATCTTGAGTTCCTACATTTCTGAATACTCTAGAGGATGCATATATTAGAACCATGCCTCTAATCTTCATGCCTTGTTCTTGGAGGAGGTTGTCTACTGCTTGCCAGAGAGAACTCAAATCAAGGATGATGAAGCACCAGAATTCTGAACCCCAGCGGCAACTTAAAGAAGATAGAAGCAATCCTCCCGTTCTAAACAAAAAAGGGTACTACCCCAAGGGTCTCATGTTGAGATAACTAGTTTTAATCTCTGCTGATGTGTTAACCAAAGGAAAATTTTAGTGCACTTAAGAGGCACGAAAAGTTTCCATATTGCAGTTGCAAAAGCATCATCTTTGTGAGCATTGAAAGCTAGTAGGTAAGAATTCCTCATTTTAGGGATTTTCCTAATACATGTAACTATCTAAAAACTCTTGAGTCAAGAGTTGTAGAGTAGATCAAGTTCACTGAGAAACAAGAGAATTGAAGTTCCATCAGTTCTGAGTGTGACATGCAACATGGGTTATACTAGGCCTAAGAGAAAGCTGTAAGTTTCCACTGGCGATTGTGGAAAAGCATGTATTAAAACAATCTGGATTGTAAAAGGCTAGGATTTTTTTGGAATCATGGATTGTAGGATTATTTGATTGTATCATCGGTTGTGCAATGTCTGTAGTACGCCAAATGTTATGAGTGTATAATTATTTCTTTTTATCCATTTTGTAGCATTATTTGTCTTACATCCAATTAAAAATGAATAAAATGATAAATTATCTAATCATCATAGACTTACATAAAAATGATACATCATCCGATGAACATAGTGCATCTAATCTAATACAAATAATACATTCAAGCATCAGCTACATATAATTCATCCAAGCAACTGAAGACATGACCCCTAATACTAGGGTTGCAATAATTGAAAGAAGGTTAGGCAAAACAATGAAAACTGCTGTTGCGCAA